AGTAAGCCGCCTCAGGAAAGCAAGGAGGATGTGAAAGCAGAGGTGGCAAGGGCTTGGGCTTTCCTGACTCCAGGAAGTGACAACAATTCATACTGTTCAGACACAGCTGCCATCGCTCTGTCAATCTGCCTATGTCTCCAGACAAAACTGAGGCTGCCGTTGAAGCTTGTCCTGGCAGCTGAAAGCGATTGCAACAGTATTGGGAGACGCATGGAGACGCCACTGCCATTGCTGTTGGCAGACTGCGGGGGCTTCCCAAAATCGGGGTTTCAGCGGGGGGGGGGGCTTAAACCGGTCCGAAAGGATCATTCGAGCACCAACCAGTCCCGCAAACTTGCGAAGCTCCCGAACCTGGCAACCAAGAAATGAGCCGGACTTCAAGTGAGCCCCCTGCAGGCGGCAGAGGTGACATGGAACGAACAGCCGAAGGCGGAGGTGGGGGCAATGGGCTGCGCGTCTCGATGTCTGCAGCGCTGGTTTTCACCTTGGGAGAGCACCAAACTCCAACAAATGGGTGTGGCTCAAAAATTAAGCAGGAGGGGTTGCGCAGGTTTTGGTCCATGTTTCCACTTACCAGGGTTCCATTTTGGTACCGTTTTTTTTTGAGCAACAGCCAAATTGCCCCAGAGAGAGTGCTTGCGGCATTTGATACGATGGGGAATTGTTTGTGGTTCAGTACGAGCTTGCTCTCAGTTTGGTGCTCGGCGTGTCACAGTTTTGCGTGGCACGATTGCATGACGCTAAATGCTACTTGCGCTAATGCTCCTTGCCAGCATGCCAATTGTAGGCGGGTGTGACTTCCGTCCCTTGCTCAACGAGAGTTGCCTTATCCCGGATACAACATGAGCCTGATGCAAGGCGACAGAAGAGGCGAAGCCGTGGAAAGATCAGCCGACGGAGGAGGAGGTGCCTGCGGATGTGCATGTTAGATGAGGGCGGCTATGCTTGGCTGAGGGGGTCTTCGCATCATTGGATGCAATCACTTGATTTTCTCTATGATTGCAATCTTATTGTGGTTAAATGCTTGCTGCCAGTTTGGTGCTGGAATGATTTGTCGCAGCTTGCGGGGCACACCTGAATGATGATTGATTATATATTTTTTTCTAGTGCTGCGTGCCAGCATGCCGATTGTGCGCGAGTGTGGTTGCCCACCACGCGCGCTGCATATTGATAGACTTGCTTACAAGAGTAGACGGTAAACTTCAGCTGCGCATTGTCGGAAAAGACAGCCTATCCCGGTTATCACCTCATGCAAGGCGACACAAGACGCGAAGCCATCATGGAAAGAACAGGCGAAGCCGGAGCAGCAGGATAGACGCATAGATGTGTGCAGCTCTGCTTGGGAGCTAGTGTTGGATATGTTGTTGATACGTCGGTGGCCGACTTTCAGTTATGAAGAGTTTGATAGACTTGCTTAAGTTGACTGGAATCCTTCAGCTGAGCAATGTCGGAGAAGGCATCCTATCATGGTTATCACCTCATGCAAGGTGACAAAAGAGGCGAAGCCATCATGGAAAGAACAGGCGAGCTGGAGCAGGAGGATAGACGTATAGATTTGTGCAGCTTTGCTTGGGAGCTATTGCTTGATAGTTGTTTGGTACGTTCGTGGCCGACTTCCAGTTTTTATGATTTTGACGTGATTTTGATGCTATAGGCCGCGCATATTTATTGATAGACTTGCTTTGGAAAAGACAGCCTATCCCCGTTATCACCTCATGCAAGGCGACACAAGACGCGAAGCCATCATGGAAAGAACAGGCGACGCCGGAGCAGGAGGATAGACGCATAGATGTGTGCAGCTCTGCTTGGGAGCTAGTGTTGGATATGTTGTTGATACGCCGGTGGCCGACTCCCAGTTATGAAGAGTTTGATAGACTTTCTTAAGTTGACTGGAATCCTTCAGCTGAGCAATGTCGGAGAAGGCATCCTGTCATGGTTATCACCTCATGCAAGGTGACAAAAGAGGCGAAGCCATCATGGAAAGAACAGGCGATCTGGAGCAGGAGGATAGACGTATAGATTTGTGCAGCTTTGCTTGGGAGCTATTGCTTGAAATTTGTTTGGTACGTTCGTGGCCGACTTCCAGTTTTTATGATTTTGACGTGATTTTGATGCTATAGGCCGCGCAGATTTATTGATAGACTTGCTTTGCAAGAGTAGACGGTAAACTTCAGCTGCGCAATGTCGGAAATGACAGCCTATCCCCGTTATCACCTCATGCAAGGCGACACAAGACGCGAAGCCATCATGGAAAGAACAGGCGAAGCCGGAGCAGCAGGATAGACGCATAGATGTGTGCAGCTCTGCTTGGGAGCTAGTGTTGGATATGTTGTTGATACGTCGGTGGCCGACTTTCAGTTATGAAGAGTTTGATAGACTTGCTTAAGTTGACTGGAATCCTTCAGCTGAGCAATGTCGGAGAAGGCATCCTGTCATGGTTATCACCTCATGCAAGGTGACAAAAGAGGCGAAGCCATCATGGAAAGAACAGGCGAGCTGGAGCAGGAGGATAGACGTATAGATTTGTGCAGCTTTGCTTGGGAGCTATTGCTTGATATTTGTTTAGTACGTTCGTGGCCGACTTCCAGTTTTTATGATTTTGACATGATTTTGATGCTATAGGCCGCGCAGATTTATTGATAGACTTGCTTTGCAAGAGTAGACGGTAAACTTCAGCTGCGCAATGTCGGAAAAGACAGCCTATCCCGGTTATCACCTCATGCAAGGCGACACAAGACGCGAAGCCATCATGGAAAGAACAGGCGAAGCCGGAGCAGCAGGATAGACGCATAGATGTGTGCAGCTCTGCTTGGGAGCTATTGTTGGATATGTTGTTGATACGTCGGTGGCCGACTTTCAGTTGTGAAGAGTTTGATAGACTTGCTTAAGTTGACTGGAATCCTTCAGCTGAGCAATGTCGGAGAAGGCATCCTATCATGGTTATCACCTCATGCAAGGTGACAAAAGAGGCGAAGCCATCATGGAAAGAACAGGCGAGCTGGAGCAGGAGGATAGACGTATAGATGTGTGCAGCTTCTCTTGGGAGCCATTGCTTGATATTTGTTGAGTACGTTCGTGGCCGACTTCCAGTTTTTTATGATTTTGACGTGAGTTTGATGCTGTAGGCCGCGCAGATTTATTGATAGACTTGCTTGGAAGCCATTGCCATTGCTTGATTTGTTTGATTCGTCAGCGTCTGAATCCCAGTTGTTACAGAGCTTGATGTGAGTTTGATGCCAGGCCTGTTACATTTTGCAGGGCACAGCTGCATGCAGCTGCATGATCTATCCGGCTGCTTGTGCTAATGCTGCATTCCATCATGCCAGTGGCTGCCGTCCATGCGCGCCGCATATTGATAGGCTTTCTTAACAAGAGTTGACTGGTAAGCTTCAGCTGCGCAATGTCAGAAAAGCAGCCTATCCGGGTTATCACCTCATGCAAGGCGACAAGAGAGGGGAAGCCACCATGGAAAGAACAGGGCAAGCCGGAGCAGGAGGGGCGTGCGAATTTGCATGTTTATAGACTTGTAGATGTGTGCAGGTTTGCTATGGCACAGATTGTTGCATCATGGGGTGCTGTCGCTTGATGTGTTTGTCTTTCTTTTTAGCCACGTCAGTGTCAGAATCACAGTTGCGAAGAGTTTGATGTGAGTTTGCTGCTAGGCCTGCCGTCCAAGCGCGCCGCATAATGGTAGACTTCCTTAACAAGAGTTGACTGGTAAGTCCTCTGCGCATTACCGTTTAACTCATGCAAGGCAACAAGAGAGGCGAAGCCACCATGGAAAGAACAGGCCAAGCCGGAGCAGGAGGGGCGTGCGAATGTGCAGGTTTTAGACTTTTTGATGTGTGCAGCTTTGCTTTGCACAAATTGTTGCATCACAGGTTGCTATCACTTGATATGTTTGTCTTTCTTTTTAGCCACGTCAGCGTCAGAATCACAGTTGCGAAGAGTTTGAATAGAGTTTGCTAGGCCTGCCGTCCATGCGCGCCGCATATTGGTAGGCTTTCTTAACAAGAGTTGACTGGTAAACTTCTTCTGCGCATTGTCGGGTAACTCGTGCAAGGCAACAAGAGAGGCGAAGCCACCATGGAAAGAACAGGCCAAGCCGGAGCAGGAGGGGCGTGCAAATGTGCATGTTTATAGATTTATATAATATATAGCTGTGTGCAGCTTTGCTTTGCACAAATTGTTGCATCATAGGTTGCTATCCCTTGATATGTTTGTCTTTCTTCTTTAGCTATATCAGCGTCAAAATCACAGTTGTTAAAGAGCTTGATGTGAGTTTGCTGCTAGGCCTGTTGCATTTTGCAGGGCACAGCTGCATGCAGCTGCATGCAGCTGCATGATGTGTCCGGCTGCTTGTGCTAATGCTGCATTCCAGCCTGCCACTGTGGCTGCCGTCCATGTGCGCTGCATATTGATAGACTTGCTTAGCAAGAGTAGGGCGTGGCACAAAATTAGGAGGGTAAACTTCTGCGCAATGTCGGAGAAGACAGCCTATCCGGGTTATCACCTCATGCAAGGCGACAAGAGAGGCGAAGCCGCCATGGAAAGAACAGGCGAAGCCGGAGCAGGAGGGGCGTGCATTTGTAGACTTATAGCAGCTTTGCACGGCACAGTATCTCTTTTTTTGAAGACGTCGGTGACCGAGTCACAAGGATAGCTGGATGTCAGCGGTACAGCTGCATGATGTTTCAGTGCTACTGCTGACTTCCTGTACAAGAGTTGACTGGTAAGATTGCTTAGGGCATGGTTTCGAACACGTACAAACCCTGCATGCTGACCTTTGGGGGCCGCATACTGATAAGCTTACAAGCTGTGCATCGGAGTCGCCTCCGGATATTGAGCCCGGGGCCTAATACTCAGCTTGTAAGCTGTGCCTGCTCGGTGCCCCAAGAGGCAAAGCCGAAAGAGCAGCCGAAGCCGGAGGAGACGTGCGGCTTCCCGCGTTCAGATGCATGCAGCTTCGCTTGCTTGGCACAGGAAGCAATCGCTTGTGATTGTGTACGTTTCTGATCTTATTATGATAACTGCTGAATTGATGGCAGCGAAATACCCCGAGTTTCACGCAATTTGTGGGGAATAGCATGAACAGTGCTTGCGATATGACTTGAGCTGACTGAATTTCAGGAGCGGCCCAAGGCGGAAATGCTCAATGGGCATCAAGAGAAGAAGGAACGCAGATATCTCAAGTACGATGTCATCCTCAGCAAGACCTCGCCCAGAAAAGAGTGGGGCTTCAAATGGAACATGGCTGCCTTGGCCAAGGGCCAAATGGAGGTGAATGACGTCCAGCGCGATTCGCCGTGTGACCTCTGGAACCGGGAGCAGCTGAGGCTGGAGCGACGAGACCGGATGGTGCGCCGGGGCGACCGCCTGATCTCCGTGGAAGGCAAGAGCACCCGAAACGAAATGCAGAAGTTGCTGAAGGAGGACATGGGGCTGACCATGATCTTCCAGCAAACCGCGGCCAGCGAGGAGATCATTGAGCCTCCAGAGGCACGGGAATTGCAATCACAAAGAGTCGGTTTGGTGCCAATTCTTTGTGCCATCCTGTTTCGGCCATCCAGGTTTGGTGGTCCATGCTGAAGATCTGAATACATCCGGTTCGTCCTTCCGATTATTTTTCAGGTCGAGGAAAAGCTGGCAGAGAGAAGCCAGGCGAGCTGGCCGCCAAGCGCCCTCGTTGGAATGGTCTGGGTGAATTACAACGACCTCACACGACCGAATTCACCCCTAATGGTGGTGTATGTGGGGAATAGCCCCCCAACCACCATATTTCAGGCTGGTGAATTATTATCATGCAACCAGAATGGAGCACGGATTCCTTTGAGTTCTGAGTTTAAGTGCTTTGGGTTCGGAAAGTGATCTATGGTATACCTCTGGTTCATTGGCATGAAGCATGGCTTGAATCCTAAGGTAGGCTTTTCATGTGGTTTGAGATCCCAACCATGGGGGGAGCAATCTTTCCGCAGGCAAAAGACGTGAAGCCACCAGCGAAAGAGCAGCCGCAGGTGCAGCAGGCAGCGTAGTGTTCAGGTTTGCTTGGCGCCATGTGAACTTTGCATTCATCGAGAGGGCCCTAACCCTGAAAAGATACATTTGTCCTTTTGAAACATGTTTTTTTCACCAAGAAAAAGGGAAACCACCATTTACAAGGCAATGTTCAGGTGTATAATGTAAGGATCCCTGCAGAGGAACACAATAGATAATGTCCTTGCAGAAGAGCCGCCCCTGAACAGTCCGGATCAAGCCGACAGGCTTTGCTTACAGCGCTAGATGCAATTGCTTGATCGGTTCGTCACTGGATATGGCAAGCTGGGCATGCGCGGACAATGCTTAATGTCGCAATTTCTGTTCGATCTCTCAGAAGCAACTTGCCAGGCGAAAGAAACCAGACCGGCTCAGCAGAGCAAGGAGGAGGAGAGGGCTTCGCATTCTGCTTGTGCGTTTGTGTGTGTCAGAGAGGAGCTTTGCTCAGTCGGTTTGGAGTCTCTTTTTTATCAAATAGCTTGATCGCTTCAACTTTCCATTCTATGTTGTGTCACGTGCTGCTGTGGGGACATGCAACTCTGCCGACACGTGGCAAAGTTCAGCTTGGATCGAGAGCACGCCTGAGGCAAAGCTCGAGAGAGTTGGGACAGCTTGTGTTCCAAAGCATCGTAAACAAATCGCTTCCCACCAACATGGAACCCACCAGAAGCTCCCTTTTGTAGGAAAATGGTTTTGCACGTTCAGTCAGGTGGTTTTAAAGGGAGAGCCAATGGGGGTCTGGTCGTGGCATGTGTGTGCTTTGCCCTTGCTTCTAACCAGACCAACCCAGCAACAGAAAGCTTGGGGCAGTTGGCTTGTTGGTCTGCCCGTTTTGCTATTTGTGGAGGTGAAACATGATTTTAAGTCCTGTCGGACTTTGTCTGGCTATGAATTTCAACTCGGGGATCTCCAATCTGGTTGGTGGCCAGGAACCTCACCAAGATGATGTCCACCAGAGGTTCCCTAATCAAATTTATGCCGATATTGGGTCTGAGTCACAAGGCAAACCTCTGCACAAAGCTCCGAACGAGGACGAGCAGAAGAATCGTGGATGGGAATCCGCAGACGAGGCAGAGGAGGAGCAGGCACTAAGCAGGGCTGTTGACTGATGGCATGTGTGACCGAAAATGGCTGACTGTGCACGCCTGTTTGCAGACCTTTCACACTGGCTTTCTGAAGTGACACCCATTCTGTGGTTGACGTGTGTAGGTGTGTGTGTGTGTGTTGTGTTTGGTTTGCATGTGTTGCATCCTTGATTTCACTGGTTCGGCATGCACGGCAAAGGCAGCCGAAGAGCCACAGAAGGAAGAGCCGGCTGCCGCAGAAGAGGCCCATCTTCGATGCAGCGGTCAGTTTGGGTGTGGTGTTTGGCAATCCGTTCGGCTGAGCGTGGAGCGCATTCAGAAGCCAGCAATGGTGTGTGTGTGTGTGTGCGTATATGCAGAAGATATTGTTGATGCTATGTCTGCAGGCATGATCCCAGCGAATAACAAAGCTGCCAAAGCAGCCAGCAACAAATGATCGTTTTTGGCAACTTGATTCTGAAGGAGGAAGAAGAGGAGGAGGAGGATGAAGAAGAGGAGCAGGCGCCACAGAAGGAAGCAGAGGAGCGGCGGGGAAAGGTAGCTCGCACAGAGCCGTACGTTTGGCTTGACTTGCTGGAATTGTGGCTGAACATTGAGGGCCTCATTCTTTGAAATCCTTCGCGGCCTACAGCCTTCATGTCCTGTGGGGTTGTTGGAGTTTGTATCCAGTCTGGCAATATAATTGCAAGCTGCAATTCTGAAATGTTCCAAGTGCACCAAACTCCATTTGATGAGGAAGAGGAGGAGGAGGAGGAAGAGGAGCAGGCATTTGTATGGGCTGTTGACTGCATGCATGTGTGAGGGAAAGGGCTGGATGTACTAGTTCTTGCGTTTCGGAATTTCCTTAATTCCTTAATTACAGGCTTTCCCAAGTGACATCCATGTTGTCTTTGTTCATGTCTATGTTTTGCATGAATAGAAGCCTTGATCCAAGTGTACAGCAACGTCCAGGCAGCCGAAGAGCCACAGAAGGAAGAGCCGGCTGCCGCAGAAGAGGCCCATCTTCGATGCAGCGGTCAGTTTGGGTGTGGTGTTTGGCAATCCGTTCGGCTGAGCGTGGAGCGCATTCAGAAGCCAGCAATGGTGTGTGTGTGTGTGTGCGTATATGCAGAAGATATTGTTGATGCTATGTCTGCAGGCATGATCCCAGCGAATAACAAAGCTGCCAAAGCAGCCAGCAACAAATGATCGTTTTTGGCAACTTGATTCTGAAGGAGGAAGAAGAGGAGGAGGATGAAGAAGAGGAGCAGGCGCCACAGAAGGAAGCAGAGGAGCGGCGGGGAAAGGTAGCTCGCACAGAGCCGTACGTTTGGCTTGACTTGCTGAAATTGTGGCTGAACATTGAGGGCCTCATTCTTTGAAATCCTTCGCGGCCTACAGCCTTCATGTCATGTGGGGTTGTTGGAGTTGGAGTTTGTATCCCGTCTGACATCTTACAAGCTGCAATTCTGAAATGCTCCAAGTGCACCAAACTCCGAACAAGGAGAAGCAGGAGCAGCATGGTGGATGGGAGCCATCTGATGAGGAAGAGGAGGAGAAGGAGGAGGAAGAGGAGCAGGCATTTTTATGGGCTGTTGACTGCATGCATGTGTGAGGGAAAGGGCTGGATGTACAGTTCTTGCGTTTCGGAATTTCCTTAATTGCTTAATTACAGGCTTTCCCAAGTGACATCCATGTCGTCTTTGTTCATGTCTATGTTTTACATGATTTGAAGCCTTGATTCAAGTGTACAGCAATGTCCAGGCAGCCGAAGAGCCACAGAAGGAAGAGCCGGCTGCTGCAGAAGAGGCACAGCGGTCAGTTTGGGTGTGGTGACAAGCAGCAAGTGCAGATGAGCTTTTGAGCGGCGCATTCAGAAACCCACATGGCAGGTGTTCGCGTTTGTGTTTGTGCGTGCTTGCTTGCGTGTTTGTGTGTTTGGTTGTTTGTGTGCTTGTGTGCGTGTTGGTTTGTGTTTCGCAGTGCACCAAACTCCGAACGAGGAGAAGCAGCCGAAGCATCGCGGATGGGAGTCATCCGATGAGGAGGAAGAGGAGCAGGCATTTGGAGGGGTTGACTGATCGCCGCACGTGAGGGACAATGAGGGTGGCTGGGTGCACATGCTTTTTTGGAGGAATTAATTACATGCTGTTTGTTTCAGTGACATCTGGTTCATATCTATGGTTTGCATGATTTGAAGCCTCGATCCAGTGCTGAAGAGCATTTGCGATGACCAGGCCGAAGAGAAACGGAAAGAGCCGGCTGCCACAGAGGATGCACATGTTGGATGCAGGTCTCAGTTTGTGGTTGTCTTCAGCAAGTGCAGCAGAGCGCTTGAGCGCATTCAGAACCGAGCACGGCATGAATGTGTCCGTGTGTGTGTGTGTCTCTGTGGCGTATCTGTCTATTCGTGTGCGCTCGAGCGTGCAATGTCGCTTGGGCTTTCATAGGGAGAGTCGCAAGGCGCACATCCCTGAATCTTCCAGCTGTGCATGTTTCCCGCCGTTTGCCGAAAAAGCACAAATGTTCACTGCAACAATCTCCTTTTTCACTGCGAAAGTGTCGTTTCAACATGGCTGCAAACATAGTCAAGGAAAGTCTCCGTTTGGTCGCGGAATGTTGCCGTTTCGTTGGGGAAAGTCTTGTCCCAAAAGCGTAAAAGGCAACAGTGCCTGGAAGCACCAGAAAGTGTTATCTGTTTGCAAAGGCAGCTTCTCACGAAAAACATATTAAACAATACAAACCTTGGACGATCCAGGCTCTAAAATTGTTTCCACCTGCAACAAGCTCCAAACGAGGAGAATCAGAAGCGTCGCGGATGGGAGTCATCCGATGAGGAGCAGGAAGAGGAGCAGGTGCGGGTCTGTTGACTGATCGCGCTTGCGAAGGAAAGGCAGTATAGTTTTCGCAGGGGAATCCATTCCATGCAAGTCGCTTGTCCTTTTGTGACATCTATGTGTTTCTTCCTTTTTGTTTGCCTCGATTTGCATTTGCATCGATCCAAGTCATTCAAGAGCACAGCGAGGCCCAGCCCAATGAGAAGGACGAGGTGTCCGCTGAGGCGGGGTTTCGTCTTCCAAAAGGGGTACCCTTAACAAAACTAACGTGGGGGTTGATCAAAAGGTTCGGTAAGGGAAGTAGAGGGCATGATCAAGCATGAGGCTGTCATCCAGCAAAAGGCAGAGGGTTCGCAAGCGCAGAACGGAATAGATGGAGGAGGTTCGCAGAGGTCTACGGTAAGAGGGTCGCAACGGAAAAGTGGCTTGTGCGCAGGGACATGCGCAAACCAAATGCTCTGAACGAGACATGGGACATCGATTGCAGGCACAGGTGGCTCGACATGTGGAAAAGAGTGATTGTTTTGCTCAGGCATGAACAGCGTTCCGGCATGGCATGTTTTCGCTTTATACGCAGCCACATCCTCAAACAAACAGATTGAACCTGGGCTGCCCGCTATCCACAAGACATCAGGCTCCTACAGAGGAGACAAAGGGAAGGCAGCGTGCGTGGGCGTCATCCGATGAGGAAGAGGAAGAGGAGCAGGAGGCGTCGGAGCAGGTTCGTACTAGAGATGGCGAGAGGTTTGTTGGCTGGTGCTCACACTGCTTTCTTGAGCTTCTGCTTTTTAGCGTTCGTGCGGGCCGACTGGGCTTCGCCTTCTGAGCTCAGCCTATATTGACATGCGGAGCCAGGTTTAAACGGAGCAACCTCGAGATTAGGTATTGATTGTCGCTTCCTGGGCAATCCGTGCCCTTCGCTTCTTGTGTATTCGTCATATGAGGGCCGTCCTAAAACCCCAGTCTTCGGTTTTAATTATCGCCGAACGGGGAGAAGTAAAAGTTGTCAAAAGCTGTGCGCGCGCAAGGAGCGCGCAAGTGCGGCCCAAGGGACGCGCAAGGTTACAGTTTTGAAGGGTTTCATGTACTGATGTTGCCTAGCTTCATGAAAGGAGGTGATATCTTGTTGCTGTACTTATGCTTTTCGAATGTTGCTTGGGTCATGTGTAGGTCACAAGCTTGTTTGCAAAAGGTGCGGCGTTTTCTTCAGTCACACGCCAAACGAAGCCAAAGCTTCTGCGGTCATGACTTCAACAATCAGCAACTGGCAGCTGACACGACAAAATCCGCGCAAGCCGCGCGCAAGCCGCGCGCAAGTTGCGCGCAAGCACGAGAAGCGCCAGCAAGACATCTAGCCATGCTGTCTCGGATGTCCTTAGCGGCGCGGTTCAAGCAATGGCTAGGCAGCCGCAACATGCACTTTCCTTCTTTCAGGCTGTGTCCAAGCTGTGTGGCAGAGCCTGCTGTCCTTTCTGTTGGGTCAAGGGTATGTTGCTGGCCTAGAATTACCGGGACCCACCTCAGCGGGAAGAGTCTTTGTGGGTTGCTGTGTGAACGACGAACACACTGCTTAGAAAAGCTTGCGCGCAATCCACACGAAAACTTCGCAAACCGAGGTCAACGAAAACGAGTTTCTGCGCCACTGTGCGCGCGCAAGTCCGCGCAAGTGCCGCGCAAGTGCGGCCCAAGGGCCCAATCCCGGGCAAAGGAATATAGGACAACCCCCATATGCAAGCTGTGTGGTAATGAGTCAGCAGGCCCAAGCATGGCAGGCAGCTCAACAGCCTGAGAAGGACGAGGTGGCTGCCGAGGTGGGCTGAGTCTAACATCAGGCTGTCCATTTTCGGGAAAAGGGTCTGCGTCAAAATCGTGGCACCCCCCAAAATGGTGGATTTGCTTTTCGTTTCTCCTCAGATCGAGGTGAAAAGGGTACCCTTAAAGAAACATTTCATGTGCAGAACGGAGTAGATGGAGGTGGTTCGCAAAGCTAGCCTTTTCGGCACGGCACGTTTTCTGCTTTGTACGTAATTAGTCACATCCAGGGACAAATGGCTTGAATTTTGGGCGTGCCACTCTGTTCCACAAGACATCCCAGGCTCCTAAAGAGCAGACAAAGGAAAGGCAGCGGCGTGCGTGGGCGTCATCCGATGAGGAGGAGGAAGAGGAGCAGGAGGCGTCGGGCCAGGTTCGTACTAGATGGCGAGAGGTTTGTTGGCTGGTGCTCACACTGCTTTCTTGAGCTTCTGCTTTTTAGCGTTCGTGCGGGCCGACTGGGCTTCGCCTTCTGAGCTCAGCCTATATTGACATGCGGAGCCAGGTTTAAACGGAGCAACCTCGAGATTAGATATTGATTGTCGCTTCCTGGGCAATCCGTGTTGACTGATGGATTTTAGTTGCATGAGTGTGCCCTTCGCTTTTTGTGTATTCGTCATATAATATGCAAGCTGTGTGGAAATGAGTCAGCAGGCCCAAGCATGGCAGGCAGCTCAACAGCCTGAGAAGGACGAGGTGGCTGCTGAGGTGGGCTGAGTCTAACATCAGGCTGTCCATTTTCGGGAAAAGGGTCTGCATCAAAATCGTGGCACCCCCCAAAATGGTGGATTTGCTTTTCGTTTCTCCTCAGATCGAGGTGAAAAGGGTACCCTTAAAGAAACATTTCATGTGCAGAACGGAATAGATGGAGGTGGTTCGCAAAGCTAGCCTTTTCGGCACGGCACGTTTTCTGCTTTGTACGTAATTAGTCACATCCAGGGACAAATGGCTTGAATTTTGGGCGTGCCACTCTGTTCCACAAGACATCCCAGGCTCCTAAAGAGCAGACAAAGGAAAGGCAGCGTGCGTGGGCGTCATCCGATGAGGAGGAGGAAGAGGAGCAGGAGGCGTCGGGCCAGGTTCGTACTAGATGGCGAGAGGTTTGTTGGCTGGTGCTCACACTGCTTTCATGAGCTTCTGCTTTTTAGTGTTCGTGCGGGCCGACTGGGCTTCGCCTTCTGAGCTCAGCCTATATTAACATGCGGAGCCAGGTTTAAACGGAGCATCCTCGAGATCAGATATCGATTGTCGCTTCCTGGGCAATCCGTGTTGACTGATGGATTTTAGTTGCATGAGTGTGCCCTTCGCTTCTTGTGTATTCGTCATATGCAAGCTGTGTGGTAATGAGTCAGCAGGCCCAAGCATGGCAGGCAGCTCAACAGCCTGAGAAGGACGAGGTGGCTGCCGAGGTGGGCTGAGTCTAACATCAGGCTGTCCATTTTCGGGAAAAGGGTCTGCGTCAAAATCGTGGCACCCCCCAAAATGGTGGATTTGCTTTTCGTTTCTCCTCAGATCGAGGTGAAAAGGGTACCCTTAAAGAAGCATTTCATGTGCAGAACGGAGTAGATGGAGGTGGTTCGCAAAGCTAGCCTTTTCGGCACGGCACGTTTTCTGCTTTGTACGTAATTAGTCACATCCAGGGACAAATGGCTTGAATTTTGGGCGTGCCACTCTGTTCCACAAGACATCCCAGGCTCCTAAAGAGCAGACAAAGGAAAGGCAGCGGCGTGCGTGGGCGTCATCCGATGAGGAGGAGGAAGAGGAGCAGGAGGCGTCGGGCCAGGTTCGTAGTAGATGGCGAACGGGCTGTTGACAAGTGCCTGCATTTCTTTTGAGAGGTTCCTCTTGTTCAGTGTTCACGCAAGTTGGCTGGGTCACTGGGTTTGGGCTGTCGTGCGATTTGTGAGATTGATTTGACTATTAGTCATGTTTCAAGACGATAGGGCAAGTTCGAAAGAAGGAAATACGCGAAACGGCGACAAAAGGCAACCCTTTCGCCATCGCAAGGAGCTGTGCTTACATGCCTGGCCAGGCGACCAGAAGCAAGTCGCCGGAAAGGAGTGAACAGGTGCTCGCATGGGTCTGAACTTTGAATGCCTCATTTGAGCCTGGGGAAGGTCCCAAGGGTGCGGATATCCGCCCTATTTGATTCTTTACATTGGGGTTGATCAAAAGGTCCTGGGATGACCTGTGGGGAAACCCACTAAAGGAAGATATGTCCTGTATGGGAAAAGTTTCCGGCCGAACGCAATATTCATCAACTTCTACATGGTCTTAGGCGATTTTAATACCACCTGCCTCACCAGTTGCTGTTTTTTTGCCGCAACTGTAGCTGCTTTTAGAATACAGTGACCGTAAAAAGAAAGAGCAACTTGGTGATCCAACTTTGGAATCTATCACTGCAAACAAGCAAATGGAAAGCACAAATACCAGGTGAGTCACAATCAAAACCCGGGGAGATGAAGGTTAGTAAGGGGCAGTCCCAGCCGGAAATAGTTGCAGCCGCCTTTTCAATTCCTTACGTGGTTCTGGGTTCAACATGTTTGTACCAATCGGTTTTGATGACTCAGGTTCTGATTTAAAAAAAAACCTCGCTTGGTCCTTGGCCCTCGCTCGATGGGGAACTTGGACGGATCCAGCTCCAGGCGAAGGCGGGGGCCACTGCGAGGCGGCGAACCTGGGCCTCGTCCGATGAGGAGGAGGAGGAGCCAAAGGCGGGCGAACGGACAGCTGGGAGCTGACAGTTTTGGAGAAGAGAAAGGAAGGAAGGAAGAAAGGACAGAAATGAAGGAATCAATTTTATAAATGAAGGAACTTAAGCAAAGGAAGGACGCAAGGAAAGACAGAGAGACATCAAGCAGGAAAGAGCGAAGGACAAGACATACATAAATCGACAAATGTAGTTATTTAAGGAAAAGAACATCAAAGAGCACACGTTGGAATGGTAAACAGAAACATGCACGAACTACATGAACATAACACATGAAGACGAGATAGATACAAAGAAACAATGACATAACAATACAACAATACATAGTGAACATAAATAAATCAGCAAAGTCACAACTAAATAAAGCAATAAACAAATAAGCAAGCACAATATGTAAAGAACGCAACCAGTAAATAGCTAATCAATTACATACATAAATAGAGAAGGACACGCCGAGAGAAGGACATAAATTCCGAACGAAAGAAGGACACAACTAAATATAGAAATAGTAACAGCAGAAGTAGATGACACAAAACAAGCCAGATGAATAAGGCCTGAAGAACGGGGAGAAAGAGAGAAGGATACAAAGATGATTCTTTTAGGAGAGGGGGGGGAGAAATGGAGACGACGGTTGCGAAGGATATTCCAGATTGGGGCAGCAGTATGCAAAGCTTTGGCCAGGCCAAGTCGCCAGAGAGAAGCGAGGTGCTCGCATTTTTTTTCCGGGGGGGGAGGTGGGTGCTGGTACCGAATGGGCAGATCATTTTGGGGGTAGCTGGGTTTTTGCGTCCACCTGCCCAGCTTCCGTGGGGGTGAACCTCGTGGTGGGTAGCAGGGCAAGGAGCCGCAAGCCCATCACCACCCCTTCAAAAATGAAATTTGACAGGGGGGGTATCCCCAGAAATTTCTGTCATTTTCCACCCTTTCCACGTGACCAATGCGTGCCAATGCGCAGTACCGGCGTTCCGTCCTTCAAGTTTCACCCCAAAAATGGCCCTTAGATTCTGAGAGCTTGACCCCACCGAGCCCCTAGCAGCCTGCCGCACTGACTGAGCCAGGGCAACCCTCTGAGCACTCCACACGTTGTTGGGCTACGCCAACCCAAAGAACCGGCGAAACGAGTATCCATGTCAACATTGACTCACTTCGTGTTCGGAATGCACATCTGGCTGGAAGAATGCTTCCCAGCTAATTTGCTTTCAGAGTTCCAAAGAGCAAGTGCCAGGCTAGTCCTTTTCCAGTTCGGATTTCTTAGTGTTCAACCTATATTTGCAATGCTGCATGAGTTTGCACCGGACCTGCATGTCCTCACCGCAATTCGGTCGTAGTGGCCAAAGGGATGCAATGGGACTTTCTGACTATGCCTAGGCCACAGGTAGCTCTTTTGATAGTTTGCTGTTGCGTTCGCCCACTTGCCAGCCGGACTTTGCCCTTTTCTCGCGTCAGGCCAAGCCGGAGCCGGCCAAAGTTGCCTCCGAGGCCAAAGCAGCTCCCAAGAAGAATATCGTGGCACCGCCTTGGCTGTACAAACCGCGCAGGTGAGATGCCATTTTAGCCGGCTTCAAAACCTGCGATTCCTCAAATACGAGAAGCACCTGAGAGTGTTTAAACCTCTGACTCAATCGCTTTCTTTTCGTTTCATGGCGCGCGGCCTGGGGGTCGCATGTTGAGTTTATTGGAAGATGCAGCCTGTGGGTTTTGAAGATCGCTTCGGCCTGCAAGGCCAGCTTTGTCCGAGATGGGATATGGAATTACCCTGCACGCATAGAACAGGCACAGTCATAGGCGACTTGTCGCGAGGTGTTTCACTTTGGCTTCACCCAAACCGGGTTGCAAGCAGAGTTTTGACTCGACAGATTTTCCGCAAAAAGAGCACTAGACAGTCTCAGCATGTCGCAGCTCACTTGCAGTCTGATGTGGGGTCAGCAGAGCTCAGGATGGACCGAGCTGAGAGACACCGGCAGCTCACCCAGATGCTTCACTGGTTTTGGTTTGAAACTGGCTTCACCTGCCGGTCTGTTTCGTCTTCTCAATCTTTTGTGCAAGGCTGTTTCAGGCTCGAGCGACGCTCAACACTCTCATCCACGAAGGGCATGATACTAGCCACCCCCAAACAGGGTTCCACTTTTTGACTACCCCCAAGTAGGCTTAAACCCAGGGGTTTTGCTTTTAGGGAAATCAACCACCCCTGAATTTATCCCCCTTTTGGGGGATAGTCAAAAGGTAGACCCCTGCCCCCAAAGTCCCGCAAAGTGCTTCTTCTCGGAGCGCTTGGCAGGTGAGGGTTGAGCCGATCTTGGCTGGCGCGCAACTCAGCCCGTCGGGGTTGGTCGGGGTCTGGTGTGGGTTCAATCGAGTCAGAAATTAAACCCAGAAGTGGGTGCAAATATCCGCCCACTTCATTCTTGACATGTTGTTTTTGCTAGTTCTCAGTAGGGAATGACGAAATGAAACTTGGGGAGTTCTAAAGGGAAACCGCCAACCAGCAAGTTTTGGGGTCGGCCAGTCGGGCGTTTGGCACTGGCGTGCACGTTTGTTCCTGAAAGAGGGTAGGGAGGGTGGGTGATATCCTCAAAAAACAGAAAAACTGTTTTGCCAACATGGTCACTGGGGATCTGAGTTCTTTCCCTTCTTGGTTTCAACATCACCTCTCAGCTGCCATTGTTGATTTCTGTTGGTGTGATGGTCAAAGGAGGCACGAAGCCGAGCCACGACGAAGCATGGACATATATCTTGCCCAGCAACAAATCCTCGATGCCGATGTTCATTTGCCATCACAAAGGCTTTGGCCAGTGGCGTGTGTCTTTTCAGGGACACCCCTTTCGGAGACTGACAGACCACGCTCAATTCTCTTTGGAGAAGCAAGGCTCAGTAGAACTCGGCAGCCTTGGACTTCAGCAGAAGACGGACAGGAAGCAGGATTCTGCTTTTTGGCATCTCTCCTGCTGGGAGACAGGGGTGCAAACCAAACGCCGTAGTGTAGCTGCTCGATTTGTCGTGAGCAATCTTTAAGCACTGAAAAGGAGACGTTTCCCTGGACATAAACCTGATCAAGTGAGGTTCGGTCAAGTTTTACTGCTAGTCTATGGCGCAATTTGTGACTCGGGGGACTCGCTACGTTTGGTTAGATGGTCAATAGATGCATCAACCAGTCATGAACCTGAACTACTTCTTACAGATTCTCACTCTCAATGCCCAAATATGGTATGTGACAAAACGGGGGGACCCCCAAACTGGCGATCTTCCTTTTTGGTTCCCTTTAGACCAGGCTGAACAGGGTGGCTTCAAAAACACACCCACATATGAAGCGCGCCGGGCGTCTAAAGAGAAGGACATCGTGCAGTTCCGCGGGTCCTTGCCTCTTCGCTGTGCATATTCCAGACGCGCTGGCGCATCAGACATGTGGTGCTTCTCCGAGCGGGTGTGTGTGTGTGTGGGTGGGTGGGTGGGTGTGTGTGTGTGTGTGTGTGTCTGTGTGTCTGTGTGTCTGTGTGTCTGTGTGTCTGTGTGTCTGTGTGTGTCTGTGTGTGTCTGTGTGTGTATGTGTGTGTCTGTGTGTGTGTCTGTGTGTGTCTGTGTGTGTCTGTGTGTGTGTCTGTGTGTGTCTGTGTGTCTGTGTGTCTGTGTGTCTGTGTGTCTGTGTGTCTGTGTGTCTGTGTGTCTGTGTGTCTGTGTGTCTGTGTGTCTGTGTGTCTGTGTGTCTGTGTGTCTGTGTGTCTGTGTGTCTGTGTGTCTGTGTGTGTGTCTGTGTGTCTGTGTGTCTGTGTGTCTGTGTGTCTGTGTGTATGTGTGTATGTGTGTATGTGTGTATGTGTGTATGTGTGTATGTGTGTATGTGTGTATGTGTGTATGTGTGTATGTGTGTATGTGTGTATGTGTGTATGTGTGTATGTGTGTATGTGTGTATGTGTGTATGTGTGTGTGTGTGCGCGTGTGATGCAGTTGGCAAGTTGCAGTTGGCAAATCCGCCAAAGGCGAGATGCTCGAGGGGTCGACGTCTTCTTCGTGGCGATGACACAGGCAGGGCAGCAGGCCTTGTTCGGCTTGGATCGGATGTGGAGCGAATGGCGACAATCATGGTTGCCAAACCTGTCCCTTTTACTTGGACGAGTTTCACACTTCGGTGCCTGCTTGCAATGTCGAGTTGGCCCGTTGTGTGTTGGACCGTTTTGCATGAAACCCCCTATTTGGTTGGTGATATGGAGTTGTGTCAGCAGAGACAGATTAGTTTGACCCAAAAGGGATGCCCCGTTCTTTTGACTTGACACATGTTTTGAGCGTGCCCCTCAGCGTTTCGCTGAACCGAAAGATCTAGCGGTATCTTCCCATTCTTTCCAGGGATCCTTCTTTCTAGAAAACAACCAAAATCCCTGGGGAAATGGCTGGTTTTTGAAAAGAACGACGATGGCTGAAAAGAATGGGGAATCAACTAGAAAAGAACTCCGAAGGATTCCTACCTGAAAGTTTCTCAAATCAGGGATCCTGGTGGTTTGCTTCCAAGCTCCTTTCAAGACGCTGAGAACCCCCGCGCCTGAGCAGGGCCCAACACCGATTGGACTTGGGCCATTTTGGTAGGTGGTTCTACTGCCTGGTGTTTGGACTATGAGGCCCATACAAACCAGTACAATCTTGGGAGCCAAAAGCCAGCTCGGGTCCCCGCTGCAAATCCAACACAAATTCCTCAAGGTGAGCTCCCGGCCTACGAAAAGTCGTCACATGTGCCGTGGAAAATCACCCTCCCCCCTCCTTTGTGGGTTGGTGGCCAGGAACCCTGAGGTGAGAGGACAAGATTCGGTGGTTTGGTTTCATTCTGGTTTTGGTTTTTGTTGGCCTCGGGGGGGGGGGGAATCTATTTTTCGACTGAGCAGGGAGGTTTTCATGCACCCAGACAATTGCAGGGTTCCTGTTCAAGGAACAGATCAATGGGGGGTGTTTTGACCATGGAATGGGTTGCCCTTTGTTTGGATGGTGTGAAACATGTGGTTGGGACTGGGATAAACTGGGTGCTTTCCGATTTATCAGAAGGGGTAATCCCCAAACCAATCCACACGGTTTTCTGTACTGAGGCAATAAGAGGGAAGCTGAGTAAGTCTATCATATATACATCAACATGACTTGGCGTGTTGGCACCTTGGTTTGCAGGGAAACCAGACGGAAACAACTCACTTTGGAGTTCCCCACATATTCATAGTGGCATGGCTTGGGGGCGAGTAGCAATTTAGGTCCTTGACATCCCAAAGGGAAGCAACCAGAGTCCGGATGTCGATTGGGAAGAACATGGGCCGCCACACCCAATGTGTCCTTTGGAAGAAATCTCCCTATTAAAAAAAGGGGGGTTGGCAGGGGAAGCTGACACCACACATGTTGCAGGGGCCAGACTTTTGAGGCAAACGCCATGTTTGGGGGCACCCAAGTTATTCCATTCGCCTGTTTGTGAAAGGGGCCCAGGGGGCTAGGGCCTGAAGGGCGTGTCGTTTTTGGAGGGGCAGCAGCACTTGTTGGTTTTCCAACCAACCCAAACACCATCTTTGGGGTCTCGTTCTGAGACAAACCCATGCTTTGGTGGGTTCCCTTATGCGCTCTGGGCCCTTGAAGAACACACCAAAAGTGGCAGCTTAGGGGCCTGCAAGTCGGCTCCGAGGCTTCTCTTAGGAAGAGGTGACAGGGGTCCCTATATTTCCCTGTTTGGTGGTTTGAAGCATCACTTGTTTTGCCCATTCAGGGTGAGCTTCGCTGCACAGGGGGGATGCTTTGAGGGGAAGTATAGGCCCTGAGTGAGTATGCCAACAAGTTCTTGCCTTGTGACTGTGATCCTGCCCGGCTCCGGCGGAAAAGGGGGACGTTTCAGGTCCCATGCAAAAAACATGCGGTGATGTCTCCAAGCCAAAAGTGAAACTGTGGCCGGCGAAGACGAACCGTAACGCGTCCGAACTTGCCTGCCATGGCCCGCTTGCTCTAGAGAAAGCGGAGCCGGGCAACGTACGAGGTTTGAACAATTGCCGTTTTGAATATTGAAGTGATGTTCAGACACTGCGTCAAGCTAACCTTGAAGCATGCCAGTGCGCGCAGTGGCGCAATGGCAGCGGCTGTTCGTCTTTTCCACTTGTTGATACTGACGTCGAACGCCTTCAAAAACAGGGGCTCCTGGTCGCCCAACCCAAAGGCGCACCCTGCCTCGGTGAGCGTTTGCGGCGATGCACGCTTCACCTTCCTCACGCCGCGGCTGCTGCGAGTCGAGTCGCGAAGCTTCGAGGATCGAGCCACCGTCGCGGTCGAGAACCGGCGGCTGCCGCCGCCGTTAGACCTGCGCATGGCCAAAAGCGATGGCTGGTGCAACATCACAGCTACCTGGGCTTCGGAAGAAACGAACGGAAGGGTTGAAACAGATGCAAGCACCACCACCGTGCGGTACAGGTCAGGACTCACAGAGCCATTTATCGAGGTGGAGGCTGTGCTGGCCACTGGGCAGCACGTGCAGTGGAGGCTGGGGGACAAGGACACCGGGAATTTGAACGGTACTCGCTTTGATTTGGCCCAGTGCTGCACGAACCCTGGCACTTTGCCCAGCGACTTGGATCCCGGCTATCCGCTGCTGCCTGGACTTTTGAGCAGAAACGGGTGGAGCCTCCTGAACGACACCAGCTCGATTGTCTCAGACTGGATCTCATACCGAGTAGTTGAGACTCAGATCGACCGGATCTGACCTTTATGATGGTCATCCATGATCCATGTTTCAAGGTTTTATTTAAGTTGATATCATTGCTTTGAGCTGAGAGGTCATCCACGGTCCATGTTTCAAGGTCCCTTTGAGTTGATATCACCTTTGCTTTGAGCTGAGGAGATGGATGTCTACGTCTTCGCGTGCGGTTTCCAGTTCCGCGAGTGCCTCCGAGACTTTGCGCAGATCTCGGGCCCCATGTCTCTGCCCCCGCTGAGCGCGTTCGGGCACTGGTGGTCCCGGCACTGGGGAGACCCGTTTGACGGCATCTACTTCGGGCCAATGACGCAAGACGCCATCACCAAAGAAGTGATACAGGGTTACCGTGACCACGGCTTGCCCTTGCACCAGGTGGTGTTGGACATGGAGTGGCACCAACAGGTCGCCAAAGATTGCAGAACCTTTGTTGGAATGAAGGGCTGGGCAGGCTGGACATGGAACCGCACCTTGTTCCCCGACCCAAAAGCTTTCACAGATTGGCTGCACGCGGGCAATACATCCGACTCCTACGGCCACCCGCTGAAGCTGGTGTTGAATTTGCACCCGGATGCTCCCTTTACACCTTGTGAAGAGACCTATGCGGCGTTTGCAAGATGTCTTGGCCTGGACCCCTCAAAGGCAGAGGACATCGAGCTGGACTACTACAACAAGACCCTTATGGAGGGCCTGGCAAGAGTGGTGCTGCCCGCGTTGCATGCGGATTACTTGTGGATGGACTCTCCCACAGTCAACACTTGGAAGAACGGGTTTTATGACACTCAGTTTCCGGAAGCCAAGCGCTTTTGATTTGTTTTCTGACTTGGCCATCATTTTTTGGGACCAAAGATCACCTGAAGTTCCGTGGGTCCAAACGCTTGAGGACAACGTGCTGCTGCAGCAGGGCAAACGGCCCTTGGTGCTCTCGCGGTACGGGGGATACGGCAACCAGCGATATCCCATCGGCTTCTCAGGTGACACGGCGCGGAAGTGGGACACCTTGCACTACCAGGTGAGCCACTTCCATTGGCCTAATCTGTTGATGCCCCCCTGGTTTTTTTTTTTTTTTTATAGGGCACCTATCACTGTGTTTTTTTTCGGGGGACTGAAAGAAAATGGAAGAGAATGAAGACTGAATTGGGCTGCAGGTTCGGGGAAGGCCCCAAGCAACTTGTTCGGGTATCAGCCCCGTGGATTCTTTGCCACGGGTTTGCCCAATGTGGACTGTTGCTACCAACCATGGTGAAGTTATTCTATGACTTGTAGCCTTACTATAAAATAAAACCACCAGGGGACCGCAGGTTGTAGTCTTTGGTTCCATTTACCAGGGTTCCATGTTCGGTACGCATGTTTGACCCACAGCCATATCCCCATGAAGCCAGGTAACACCATCACCAAGCTGCCCCTTTGAGCCTGTTGGGAGTCGGTTCGAGGTGTACTTCACTCCCACAGCCGCCAACGTGGGCTTCGGTTACTGGAGCCACGACATCGGGGGCTTCAACGGCGCCAACTCGACCGACCACCTGGGTGAGTCGGTGCCTAGCGATTCGTTACCCGATTTGGCACATAGGGACCCAACAATTTGACCCACCCGAAATTGTGGTGTTTTCCCTGTGGTTTCCCTTTAAAGCAACCCAAAAGGGCACCCGGACAGAAAGGCCCCCCCCAAAAACAATCACCATGATTTCCGCAGGTCACCTTTTTGTTTTCAAGTCCTTTGGGCAAGGCGGAGCTCAATCTGCGCTGGACACAGTTCGGCGTTTTCTCCCCCATCTTCCGTTCGCACTGCCGCTACTGCGATCAGCGCATTTGGATAAACAACTTGACCTTGGTGTATCTGCAGCTCCAAGTTTGGCACAATGTATATCTTTGCCGGATAGCTTATGGTCAACCACGACTTACATTTGGTTTCTTGTTAAAGGCACGTGTGTCCTTGTGTCATTTTGGGTCCTTTTTCATAGGCTACCGTTTTGGATGCCTTTTTTGTTGTTGCTTTAAAGGACATCAAACAGAAGCCGCCGATCTGTTTTTTTTTGAGGGGGAGGGAGTAGGTCCACGATCCTATTTTGAGGCCGCAGGAGTTAGCTTGAGCTGAAGCAAGGTATCCGCAGCTCAGATCGGCGCACTTGCTTCGCAACGCTTTGGTGCCCTACATCTACACGAGCGGGCACATCGCCGAAGAAAGCGGCGAGGCCTTGGTTCCATGGCTGCATTTTTTCCCGCGTATCAGGCAGCTTTCTTGGGGGTTCCTTGAAAGTTCCGTAAAAAGGGTGCCCTCAACAAACAAGATATGGCCAGATGGCTTTTCCATGAAACCTACAAACGATGTAACATACTTTTTCTCATTCGTGGGCGAGCACAGGTACATCCCTGCTACTTTGCGGATCCAGCGGGCAAGCATCCAGAGACATACGACCCATCTTTGGCATTCCAATACTTCTTCGGAGCGGACATGGTGGTAGCGCCCATCACGCAGCCGGTAGGTCCTAATGGCCGAATCGCCAAGAAGGCGGAAGCCTCACTTGTCAGCGAATCGACACGAGGCGATCGCCTTTTATTTCCACCCCAAGGGTCCGATCGACGGAATTTGGGGGGATTCCTCCCAAAAAGGTCCTTTTCACAGCCCGAGTCAGCCAACTCGGGGGGGGTGGAGGGACTTCCGGGTGCACACCCAGCCAAAGCGCAAGGGTGGGTCCTTTGGGCAAGGTGTGGCTTCCACCAGTCTCCTCTGGAAGATGGGTGCGATGGAACGCTTCGGCCAGCATCAGCTCAGATGCGACGGTGGCCTCTGAGGAGTTTCTTGCTAAAGCGAATCGACCTTTCAACTGTTTGATTTCCTCGATTTGGTCCATGTTTGCTCAAGGTTCCAAGAAGTGATCACATCGTGTTTCCAAGTCCTTTGGGGTGAGGTTTACTTTGGATGATACACCAGTCTGGGTGCGTGCTGGAGCAATGATCCCAACACGTGACATGCGCTCTGTGAGCCGGACGGTGGCAGACCCCCTGATTTGGCAGCTCTGGCATGGCAACAAGACATTCGGGGGTGGTAAGGTCACATTGCCAGACCAAAGGCTGACCTGTTTGGCTTTCGTTTTCCTTCATTTTTCCCTTACAAGCAAGTTTGACTTTCTGCAGGGTGTCTAAGCCTGGTCAAGGTCATTGAGGATGATGGGGAAAGTATGGCATATTCCTTTGGAGAAAAAGCGGTTGTCACGGCATCATACACCTGCACCTCAGCCTGTACGTCGTTTAAAATTTCTGTGAGCTCACCTCAAGGCGGGGCAACACATATTTGGCGAACACCTGCAGATCGAAAGATTCCGGCCCCTTTAAAGGAAGCCAAGAGAAGGTGATAATGTGGATGGATACAATTCAATTCATGCCAAATTGGCTCATCCCAGCATTCATATGGTTTCATCCATTCCAGCTGGTGCAATATGTTGTCCATCCACAGTAGTCGTGCTTCCAGTTGCCACTAAAATAAATAACCATACATTTGCACGGCGCAGCGAGAGTGCTTTGACGCACACAATCTCTGTTGAGGGTTCGCCGAGCTCAAGACATTCGCACGGCGCCACAGCGAGACCCGAGCTCAAGACACATTCGCACAGCGCCGCAGCCAGAGCGCTTCGACACGCACAATCTCCGCAGAGGGTTCGCTGAGCTGAAGACACATTCACGCGGCGCCACAGCGAGAGCGCTTCAACACGCAGGTTCACTTTCGTCTTGCAACGCTTGCAAATGAGCAACACTGCGCGTGTCGCGAAAGTCACAGACAGTGCTGCTGAAAATGCTTTCGCTGGCCACGCGACCCACAGCATTAGCGCAAAACATTCTGCGCGCGCCACGAAAAACGCATGCCAGTGTCACAGAATGCTGCGCTGGCAATCATGGAGCCCAGCCGTCAACACACACACACATCGAAGATCGGCGCGGCGCCACTGCGAGAGCGCCGTGTTGAAGAAAGGTCGTGCGAAGCTGTCGCATGCAAGAACAACTTATTGCGACAACTGCGACGGCTTTAGGGATCCGATGGTCCAGGCGTTTTAGTCTGACTCGACAAAAGACACCCACCGCGTAACGGGCCTGCCATAGAAGATGCGCTTGGATCTCAAAAAAACGGCTTCCTCAAAAAACGCACCCCGCGTCGTCGCGAAAACCTCCGCGTGCCTGAGGCTTCCTTGCAAATATGCAAAAAGCCGGTTTCGCGTGAGGCTTCCCGAGAAATCATAGCGCCCGTTTACTGTATTGACCCTGCCAGCAAAAGCCGAAACATGAGCACGGCGCCACAGCGAGAGAGCGCCGCCCGGCACATTTCGCGCAAGATTGTCGCGTCGAAGACGACTTTTAAGACTTTACGCACAAAACTAACACGTTGAGCGCAATCCCTCGGTCTAACCCAGGCTCAACACTTATCGCAAGAACCCCTTAGTGTAAACACTGCTTGGGAACAACCCGATTTGTGTTTCAATTGATGTTGACCTCAGATGAATTTTGTCAATAAACACATCCTCTGATGAACCCCCACAAAACCAGGGACGCCCCATGAATAAACAGGGGTTTTAAATCGGGGGTCAACATTATGTCTAAGGCATTCCTGCACCTAAGACCCTTGGAATGGTGATTCCACGGTTTTCTACCAACAACGTTCCACTGTGGTGCGAATGGATTTCGCAACTATTCACATGTCGAAGGCGCTCGGAGCCCCTGAGGCTCCTTCAAGTCGCCCAAGATGCGGTCCCACGAGGTGGCCATCATGGCCTACGTGAACGTCTCTGAAGTCTCCGTCCGCAGCAACGGCCGGGTGCTGTCGCCAACCAACCGCCATGCCCCCGGCTTTTGGATCCTTCCAGCAAGTGGCTTGCTTGCTTCACAGGTGTTTTTGTCTCTTGGAAACTTGTTTTCAGGCCCTTATTTGGTGGTTTGGATTGGTATTTGAACCTGCTTGGTTCTTGCAGGGCGTGAACTGGAAACCAGCCTCGAACCTCCAAACCACCGATTCGGGCGAAGCAAATGATGGGCTGTGTGACGCCACGCAGAGGACGCAATGGGGTCGTACGTTTGGAAAAAGAACAGATACCCATCTGGTAGCAAACATAAAGACGTCCAGAATTTTAAGACCAACCAAGGTGGTGTGAACCCGGCGATGCTCGTTGTTGCTCCGGGACCACAGTTGTACACCAGCAGTGTAGAGATTGCGATTGGCCAATCCGGCTCGACACCTTTTGTCGAATCTATCATTTGAGCCGACATGAACGAAACAAATAAAAGAGTGCAGCCAGGTGCCGAGGAGGAAAACTTGGATGTCGCAAACAGTGTGCGCCCAGTGCAGCAATCCGCGTGCAGGTGCATGGTGGACAATACCTGCGTTCTGGGACTGCTCGTGCGAATTGTCCAGGCTTGGCAGTGCGCTCAGAGACACCCCAAAGATGTCACATGCAGGTTACCCAAGACGCCTTCGGCTAGCCGATTTTTTCACCAGGCTATGTTTTCTGTGATAGAGCAAATGCAAGTTGATTCGGAGTAAAATGATAAAGTATGGGGATGAGAATCCCATTTTGATATCACAGAATGGGTTGGACAGGAAGCAGCAAAGGTTCAAGACAGGTTGCAGGAAGAGCCCGAAGGAAACCGCCCATCTTGTCCCTTTGAGACACTCACCTGATGGCTTTTGCGCGGCCTATGTGCTCCGCGGCTGAAAACACGAGCCGAGGTAGATGCAACTGATCGGCCAGTGCCAGCTTCATGCGAATCCAGACTCAAAAAAAATGATGCTGCTTTGTCCAATGTGAGCGGAAGGCGTCGAGAAACGCACGAAATTTCAACTGCACAAAGGGCTACTAGCCTCAATTTGTCCATGTCTTTGCAGGAACAGCAGATTTGAAAGCTGCTTCGCGGTGGAGCTTTGTCAGGAGTGACTGTATTTTGCCAACAGTTGATCAATTTCTTGGTGGTTCCCAATGAAGCTGCCACTTTTGGGGGCAGCTAAAAAGGAGGCTGCGCACGAATCTTGCCAATGCCCTCTGATTCTAAGGCTTAAGATGCAAAGGGGGTTGGGTAATCACTTGTTTTGAGTCGCTTCGAGTGTCCCTTCCTGAGTGTCACTTGATGTGTTTCGAGTACGTGCGCCGTATTGGATCACAGCAGATAGGAGTTGTATAGGGTTGAGTTGGGATGGACATCACGATGCAAACACGTGACAGCCATTGCAATCAGGTGCTTGGTTTGCGCACGCGTGTGAGAAGGAGGGCGGCCTGAGGAAAGTGCACATGTTGTTTGACAGATAGTGACACAGATCATTTGTAGGCGGCTGTGCTTGGTCAACGCCAACTGCTTGTTCTCAGCAGCCTCCTCGCTAACGTGCTGCGGCGACGGGTCAACCACGCAGGTACTTGTAAGTGACAAGCTCAACAGTGGTACTGCCTTGAATGGAATAGCACGAACGATTGCCAGTTCCCACCGGCATGGATGGCCGCTCACAGCCTCTGAATACATGTCGCAAGTGCGAACTCGCGATGTCGAAAGCCTAGACCCTGAGGGTCGTCATAAAATCGATCTCTGCTTCATCGAGAATGGCATGTGTGACTCAGGCCTTTGACCTTCCATCCTTCCGGCTCGCACATCTCAACATTTGTCGCCTGACTTGTAGAGAAGGGTCGGTCATGCCGGGTGAAAAGCGCAGCCAAGCCATATCAAGGTTTCCTTGTCAGAGCAACGTTGTCACTTTATCAGGCCTTCATTTGGCAACACATTTGGGCAGCTTGCATCAGTTCCTGGTCTCTCGCAGCGGTCGTTTCAGGACTGGCTTGTTTTGCTCGACAGGTCTGCTTGATACTCCTTTGTGTCATGCTGAGGTCCATTTTTCCAGGGATGAACCATGGATGAACCTGCAATTTCCCTGCGGTTATCTCTTGGCTGGTATTTGGTGTACCCCTTAAACCTTTTGGAAGCAAATGGCTTCTTCCAGTAAACCGTCCAAAGGTGAGCGACCTTTTGAACAGAGGAAGAGCAACCCAGATCTCTCGGCATTTCGGAGTACCCATGGCCGGATGCTCAAAACGCTTTGCTTGGTGGCCGCTTGCAGGAGTCCGGAGCTCCTAGAGCACAGATCGATTGGTCACAGTCGTGCCAGACCGGACTTCGGCGACAACGCATTGGCAAATTGGCCGCCTTGACAACCAAAAACAACCTGGCAACTGGAAGAAGCAGGAGTAATTGGCTGTTGAAATAGGGCCCCAAACAGGCGACCTCAAAGAAAAGACGAGCCACTCATTTGTGTTTGTTTGGCCTTTGGCCTTGATAGCTTCACCTCCTAGAGTGTATGCTCGTTAACGTGTACTTTGTTGGCAGCCGGGTTCTTGCGCACGCATTGCCATGGCACAGGCAGGTGGGTATGAAAAGTAGGCAAGCCCCTCACAAGTGGTAGACATAAATCCCCTCTTGAGTGGTGTCCGCCAACATGCCCCTAAGGAAAAATCGTAGCCAGGTGTCTTGACCAAGAATTGTGTGTTGATTTCACATCCCGTGTCTGCAGAGGCCGTGCACAAGCGGCAGTTGCAAGTCACATGAGCCACAATCGAACCGTGGTCAAGTGAAGCTTGGAGACAGTCCCCAACAGAAATTGGCGCGGATATCTGTCCGTTTGCTTCTTCACATAGGTTTGGGTAGATCTCTCAAGGTCCCTTGAGAGCTCCATTGCAATTCGTGCGCTGCAACCGCCGGATCCATCCGCGTCACAGCATCAGGTCCTTGACCGCGGTGTCATCGGGACATCGAGACTTTGAGTTGTTTGCCATCCTGTGTGTTGCTGTCGAATGGGTCAAGTTATAAGACAGCATTCATTTAGCCTCAAGCCCGAGCAAATCCAGCTCTGAAGTCTGAAAAGCACTGCTTCACCTTTCAGCTGCGACGGACCGGAAGTGAGCTTTGCTTGCAACAAAATGGGCCACGTCAATGGCGAGCACCTGCTCGCCTTACCAAAAGCACGGCTGGGGCAGACAGGTAGCATCAATTAAACCAGCCCTTTACTGCATGCTGCGGTGGCTGGCCACTTGAGGGCGAATTGCAGATCAACCTGGAACTTTAGGTTCTCCAAATGCAGGGAGCTTGTGGGGTATTGCCTGGCCTGAAAGGCGGTGACCCAAAGACAAACCTGTGCACTTGCCAGGTGTCGAAGCTGTAGTCAGCTGACCTCGCCGTGATGCAGCATGATTGCTGCCTTGCCTCTGGATTGCTATTTCGCAGTTACCGCGCTTCGCATGGCCTGACTCACGAACGACAAACCCTTCGCCGCGCAAGGTTCTGCTGACGTTGCGGCTTGGAGAGTACAGATGCTGCGGAAGAATAGCACAATCCGTAGTTTCCACTGATTTACTAAATGAACTTTTCTCTTCGGTGCAATTTCACTCAGCTGATGATTCGTCCCTAGCAGATGGCCTTGGCATTTGCCTGTGCTTCGATTTGCCGCTCCGTTTCGAAAGCCACACAGGACTTTTAGCCTAAAAGCAGAATGTCTTGTGTGCCCCAAGCTGGCCTTATGAGGTTGAAACGAACAAGCTCGCAACATGGAATTGTTTGTGGAAGGCTCGTGCGGAAATCTTAACATCAAGGCATCTGCTCGAAATTTTCTGAGCTTACTTGCACAGAAAGAGGACTGGGACTGCCGGTAGACTCTGCACTTTTGCCGGCCGGCTCTGACAAAAGCAGCCGTTGGATTCCCCGGCTCGTGCCACGGAGACTATCGGCCCAGATCCCATGCGTCGGTCGAGTCAGCCAGTGTTGTAGCCTATCTCTGGCGGCGCTTCATGGCAGCTGTTTGTTTCGCCAAAGTTGCGAGCGATTCCGTTGTGCCTTTGTGGCCTGTGCTTGTTTGAACATGATTGCACATTGTCCTTGACTGTGGTGCATTGCTGTCTGTTTGTCGCGCAGACGCTCGTGGGTTGTCATTTGGCATTGTGCACATGGCCGCAACGTGCTCAAGGGCATCCCCTTCTCAGACAGCAGCATGCAGCGTGAGTGCAGCGTGATGGAGCCGTGGCATCAACAGCATGGGCAGCAAAGAAGATTGCATTGGGGATTTGTTGGGTGGCATTTTCGCCTGAAGTTCTGAAGGCGACCGCTTTGACTTGCCTGGAGAGCTTTCCGCATTGCGCATCGTGACGACGGCATGTGGCATGCGTTCGAGCGCAGCTTGCAGAGGGCAAAGTGTCAGGGCTCCTCCGGCCTTCCACACTCAACAAGTCGGCCTTGTTTGAGTTGTTTGGACCTGCTTTGCACCTCAAACGCCCGGCAGTGACCACACATGTGTGTCGCCGGCGTCGTACTGGGCCCTTCTAGTTTCGCCCCTCGTCCGACTCGTGGCTAGTGCCCAGGTTGCTGGCAGTCAGCCAACTTGGAGCGGCCCCGGAAGATGCCATGCCTCTCACCATCTCTCACCTTTACAACTGAGGCCCAAAGAGGACTGCGACTCCGCGGTGTTTCTTTGGGTGTTTGGGTGCGTGGGAATGCGCTGTTTTCGCTTTGCCTCGGGTGAGTAATCTCTGACAGCTCTGAATCTGCGAAGTTGCGAAGAGCGTTGGTCGGGATGCGGAAGTGCAACTGGGGGTGTATTTCAAGGGACCCACTAAAAGGGTGGTTTTCCTCTGGGTTTCCCTTCAAAACCACAGAGAAGGGTACCCTCAAGAAAAGACACAATTAGCCTTGCAAGGCGGTGGCCCAGTTATCATTTGCTTTGAAGCTTCCGACGACTGTGCAGTTGCCTCTAGCTTGTTTGCTCTCGGAGACGTGGTGTCGGACATGTGACTCAGAGCACCCAATCACATAATCTAGCAGTATCTTTGCCCGACCCGGGAGCGTTCCGAGCCCGATCCAGCCGCGATTTGCGCCATAAAGAGTGGGAATGCGGCCTAAGTGGACGCACGCAGCACCCGCCGCAATCCGGCGCTTGTGTTTAGGGCATGATTGTCCGGGGTTGGGCGCGTGAAAGAAAAGTCGCCCGGAGTTCGCTTCCATTCACTACGGTTTTTTGGGAAATATTCGCCGCGCCATGTTTCGCGCAATTTGCAGCCGCAGAGCGCGCTCACCTGTTGACTCACCCCCGCACGCCGCTTAGATGTAGAGTTTCCAAGATCTTCCCTGCAGCCAGCTTAAAGGCTAAGTGTGCGCAAAAATTGGGTGGCACGTGCCCCGGAGCCCTCTGAGCCATGAGCTGAGAAAGATGGCGAGCATGGCCAAGAACAGCTCAATAAATGGGCTCGGGTTTTTCAGCTCCCAGCATCAGGCCCTAGATGATTGAGCAAGAGGCAGGAAAAGCGCGCGAACGAGGCCAAGGCCAAAACCCAAGCCCACGGTGCAGCGTGCCACATTGCCCTAGAGAGGGTCGGCTGAAGCAAAGCTGTCGCATGCCGAACATTCTAACATTCTGTTCATGTCCGCCAACCAAAATAAGGTGGGAGACTACTGGAAGCTTGCTGCTGTGCAGCAACTCGTCTACTACTGGGATTCCTTCCCGGAACTCGCTTCTCCTCGCAACCTGCTCAGTCGGTTGCCCAAACAGTGTGAACGAGCACACAAGACCCTTCTTGCCTCCTTGCAGTGTGACCTGCGCCTGCGTGCATTTTGGGCTCACAAACTTGCCAAATGCCCGACCGCCGCATGTGAGTTGGGGGCTCAAGGCTTTCGGCGGGTATCTGAGAAAACTAGAGATCAACTGAGAGGCCACTGGCCAGGCTTCAGCTGCAGTCCGGCGAATGCGTGGCATGGCGCCTGACCCCGCTCACGCATGTCAACGCGCCGCGTGCTCTCAGCTGAGTATTCACTTTGTCAGAGCGCCAATCCAGCATGTGATATCTAAACAAATCCGAGGTGTAAAATGGCCGCCGTGCGCTGAGAAAGCACAAGTGTCCGCCGTTTCATGTCAAATCCGCCGTTTTTGTTGAACAGTGCTTTTTGGGAGCCTTGCTGCCTTCCCTAGTTTTCTTTCGTCGGGCAGCGTGTCCGAAGGCCGAACAATCCGCTTTTAGACCGGGACAAACCGCTTTTTGACTGGCAATACCTGCTTTTTTGCAAGACACTCATGAGCTCATGAGTGCAGAATTTGCAGAAATGCCAAAGATTCCCTGATTGCCAAGAAGTGCTCGCAGAAGTAAAAAGCGCTCGCAGAAGTGAAAAAGCCTTTTTTTCGGAAGAATGGCACCTTTTTTACACACAAAGGAAGTCCTAGGTATCACCCAAGCCAGGATAAGGAAGAATGCGTGTCGAGATGTTTGATGTTTGGTCATAGGGAAAGTGACGCCGTACGCAAGCTTGTCAGCGAACCTCACTGCGGGCGAATTTAAAGCAACACACATCTCCGGAGTTGGGGTCAGATAGTTTCGGGAAGGGGCGCGGGGCTGGATAGCCTACGGAAGTTCGGCAAAGGTTTGTGAGCTAGGCGAAGCTCGTGCGTGACTCCAGAATTCGACTTTGGAATTTTGACATGTGCGGAGCATTTTCCTGCTTGAGTTCTCGCCGCTTCCAAGACTCACTCGAGCACTTTTGCACCGCTCGTGGCGCGCCTTAATTTCTCGAGGCCCACGGAGCTGTGGCAGGCCCCGCCCAGTTCTGTTTGGTTCTCGGATGTGTCAGGCAAGTCGTTTTGCAGGGGACGTGCCCTGTACAGAGGCCATCGAGCCGCTCAGGTGCTGAGGTGAGCGAACAGAGGCAGGACAACGGGCAGATGTTCGGAATGCCAGTGGGGTGCAGGTTTCTGTTTTGGCATGGTGGGTGGCCTTGTTCTGCTGTCGCCGTCATGGAAGAGTCCAAGAGTTGGTTCCACAGAAGTCTTGGCAAGCACTTCGCAGCACGAGAACCTTTGCAGACACCTTCTGCAATGCTTCTTAGAAGGGGTTAATCCTTTAAAGGATCTGGTTTTGTTGCCTTCTTAGAATCTTCTCGAGCATGTATTTCACAAAAACATTGCAGGAAGCGTCCTTAGCTCAGGCAAAAAGAAAGGGAACAGCTGTTGGTGTACTTCGGCGAGGCCGAGGTATTGTGCGAAGTAGCTCTGCAAAGCAGTTCTGCTTCCGGTCTGCAAAGCACGTTCTTTACTTGGCGTAGTTTGCAGGAGAGTCCTACGAAGCGTGCTTGCAAAGTGCAAAGCGAGGCCACCGTTCCGGAGCCGCGGTGGCGCGTTCTAAGTGGCTCTGGGAACTTGGCTTAGTTAGGGAAACAAAAACGCTAGCGTGGTCTGATCGGCGTGGTCGAGGATTATGCACAGCTCGGCGAGTTGTGGCATGATTCGTCCCACGCTGCGTCGCGCTGCGCGTCAAGTGCTGCGTCGGCCATGCATCGGTGCTGAGTCAACTGCAGCGACTATTGCACGGCATAATATGTCGTGCTGCACCCAACGTGCTGCGTCGGCAACGCGTCAGGGATGCGTCCTACAGTGCATTTTCATGAAAGCTGCTGCGGTTAGTGTTTGTTCCCATTAGCAAGGAGGATCAGATGTTTTCTGCGAAAGCATGTGTCAAGCAAGTCGCCCGGCGTGGCAGCTAAGAAGTGCCTGAGACATGCCCCCAAAGGGCAGCGCTTGTTTTCGTGTTGCACTCGCGTCGGATACGCTCTGGAGCAAGCGAAAGCGCGAGTCCCACAAGGATTCCTCGAGATGTGACAAGCTGCGACACGCCGCTTTGAAGTCTGCACGGGCTCACTGGTTCAAAGCAGCGTCAGAGACCGGGAAGCACACAGACTGCGCCATCTGCCGGCCATCTAAGCGGGTCTCACAGATAACGCTTCGGATTTTTTAAGCAGATGCCGGCATCGCCGCCTGCGCCTCTTGTTGCAAGGGTCAACTGTTGCGGGCTGTGAGTTGCCCTTTGCAGTTACAGGTGCAAAGCATTGCAAATGCCTTGCAGAACTCGAGGTACTTCCCCGCCTTGACTTGATGGCGAGCCTCACCCTGGTAAGATTGCCACGCCTGCTTCGATTTCGTGCAGTGAGCCCTGCGACGTTCCGAGGGATGTGCTCTGTGAGGTGCGCAAATGGGGCTGAGCTGATTCGGCAATGTTTGTCAGGGCCAGGCCGGGGTGCACAGGATGCGCCTTTGGCAACTTGCCTGAGAACTTGCCTGAGTGCTGGTTAGCTTCTGGACGCCTACCCCCCCACATCGGCCCTTGCGCTTTTCCCAGTTGCACATTTGCAGGTGGGATAAAGCCCATGGAGACCCCAAGTGCCAGCTTGCTAGCGATTGCTGTCGACTTGACGCATTGATGCCCTGCCGGGGTTGGTGGGATATTTGGCCTTGATTGCAGTGACCCTTGCGAAAGCTGCTGCATCCCGCGAGACAAATAATTGAGGTCTGGACTCTTCATGCCCAGATTTCGGAATCACCACCATTTTGACTTACACCTCTTAAACGACATTGTTGTTTCAGGATTTCGAGGTGTTCGATGTCAAGGAACAACCCTGGTGTTTTCGGTAGAGCTTGTGTTCGAGGCTATGCCACAAATCCACAAGATTGGCACCTGAAGCATTTGGCGCGGGCACCGCAGTATTGTAGCATTTGTCAGGCTTGTTTTTTGGCCCTGACCCGCGCGAGGGCTGCGAGCCAAGTCGAACATTGAACCCTCCGTGTAAAGTGAAGTGGCAATGTCAGCACCTCGCACAGCTGTAGAGCAATGACAATGCACAGCAAAGCCACGGCAATGCCCCAGTGTCGGCCCCCACTTGTAGGGGAACCTTAAACCACCTTGGTGGAAAGGCTCAGAGTCTGAGGAACCCCTCCGATTCTTTGGGTCCCCCTTTGCTTAGCGATTTCTGGCTTTCCGTCGGCTAAGTTCCAATGGGGAAGCGGGTGAGCTATGGTCGATGGCCAGGTGGGTTCGGGAAAATGGGTTTGCGGTGGCCACAAAATCAAATCGCAACCTCGTGCATCGCAGCTGGCCCCAGGTGATCTGAGTGGCTTCAACACGGCTTTGGTTCTCTTCCGATGACCAGTTTTCTCTCGCCCACAACGTGCAGTTCATCCCTTTTGCTGCGATATGGAGGCCCGAGTTGTGCTGCAACAGCTGTTTTTCGGATCGTTGATGAGTTTGCAAAGTCAAACATCCCCCAGAAAGGAAGAGGGATCTCTGAAACAAGGTCCCGCCCCTAAGAAGAAAGGGGGGTGAAAAGGCGTGGACAGCCTGAAGGCTTTCTGAGCCCACGAGCAGGGTGAGCAGATGTGAGGCTGTGGTCAGGGATCATTTCTCCGAATCCCTGCCTTTGAAGCGACCCCCTCCCGCCGCCCAACACGAGAGTTTCCCTTGAAAAGCGACACCGCATTGGTTGAGGCGGAACATGCTGCCATGAAAAGAGCTTCATTTGCCGGGGGTTCTGGCACCCGAGCAAGCGAATCGACAGGCGATTCGGCCTAGAAGGAGAAGGCGGTGTGCAATGATTGCGCCGAGCCAATGACCACGGGCGCCTTAGCACATCTTAGCACCTTGGCCAGAGCTAAGGATACACCACACCCGGATCGTAGAGCTCTTTCAATGGGCTGAATCGATGCAAGGACTTGGGGCCGCTTCGATCTCCGCGGTGCCTTTCGAGGGTGCCAGAGGGCAAGCCCTTGGCTCTTCGATGTCGAACTGGATCTCCCAGCTCAAGCAGTCTTGTTTCGAGGCTTGACGCCAGCCGACTTCTTCAGCCGGCAAGTGGGGAGCTTCTGTGAGGTTCCATGATCAGATGCTTCGTGGGATCCGCGAGCCGATGCCAGTCCATTGCAGGCCATTTTCTTCGGGAGAAGCGAGAGTGAGAGAACGAGAACCATGGTGCTGGAAACTGCGGTTGGAACAAACACATCCCTTTTACATTGAGAAACTCACTGGGATGGCCCACTTTGGTATGTCTCATTTTCCACAACCATGAGACCCAGAGTAGCAAGAGGACGAGAAGGAGAGTGGTTGCACGAGCATGAGTGACAGATCCATAAGCCTTGTCGCCACGTGTTGTTTGGGCTCTCTGCCTTGCCGCGTTGCTCCAAGCTAAGGTCCCGTTTTGTGCTCTTCCCAACAGCTTGAAATACAAACTGAATCATAACTATACTAGGTTATGAAATGGAACGATCGTTGTCAACTTTACACTGATCTTTGTTTCACTTGTTGTTTGTTTCCCAAAGGTGAAGTGCAACACTAAGATCATCTCCGACTCGACAGCAATCATGAGCTCCTAACTTCAGATATCGCTTCACTTCTGCTCGAAAGCCGGCGTTTGCGGCGCAAATGGGCTCTAGCTTGAGCGCCAACTGCTGCGCCCCTTGGCATGCTATCAAGATCAGTTTTGGCTTTGTTGCGGGAGAGGGAAAGAAACCATCCGACAAAGCGAGCGGTGTGTGAGTGAGTCCAAGAATCCCTTCCCCTGAATGATACCCTCCTCTGAGGGACGGTACTGATCAACGTGTTGAGAGCGGTATGCCAGGGGAAGGGATGACGCAAGCAAAGGTTGAGCCAGAGTACTTCTACAAGAGCTTCGATTTCCTCTGGGCCTTTGTTCTGTGGTCGCATGTGCGTGGCATTTGGGCCAAGATGGTTTCCACCCCCGAACCAGCCTCAAGGGTTTGGGATAGAAAAAGCCCCAATAGTCACTAAAAGGTATGCCGGGTACTGACTTCCCCTTGGCCCGATATCTTCGGTGGGGTGGAAACCATCATTCCGAATCGAATCAGCTGGCAGGGACGTTTTTTTTTTTGCCGTTTTGGTTTGGCAAGTGTTGCAACATCTTTTTTCCGTTTCGGTGTGGCAAGTGTAGACACATCATCCATATCACTGTTGGATGAACCTGGGTGATGCGCGTTTGCAATGTGAGGCACGAATTCAACGTGTGTCCCGATATCTGAGGCTTCCAGAGACAAGCCGCCGGTCAGAGCCTAGGTGGTTCTACTGCCTGAGTTGCGGTTGTAGCACGGCCTGCATGGGTATGTCTCTGTTGGCCCCCCCCCCCCCGCATTGGGCGGGTTTTCCTTTGGGTTTCCTTTCAAAATCGGCAAAGAAATCAAAATACAACCATCGAGCTGTACCAGCGAGGCAAACGTCTTGGGCTTCGGGGCCCCACTGAGGATGGGACCTATCTGTCCAGAACTGGTCCGCCCCAGGTGTGCATCCAGGATCGTGCAATTCACGGGGCATCTTAAGGGTTGGATCCACTGAGCTGGAGTGGTGGACGTGAATCCCCGTCTGATGTCCGCCGGTCATTTCTCCACCGAATTGGAACCCCACCAAAGGCTTTGGTCCGAGACCCAGCATTGTGGTGATCCTTTCGGCTAAAAGGGGATATAAAAACAATAGTTTGTCTCAGGTCTCCAAATTGGGTGCGGAAGCCCCAAACCGAGCCCTTGGCCATTCGATCTCAGGAGCCCCTGGTGTACGGCTCACGGCCCGCGCGCAAGCGCCGGCGCCTCAATCCGCAACCTGGTTTGCGCTAGTTGCGCACATCGCCCAGCACAAATGGGTCAACTGTATGTGGGTACTTTATACGGGGGTGTGGTGTTAGTCACCTTTCAAAGTTGGTTGAAAAGGAAACTAAAAGGAGGACCACAGTTTGGGTTAGCCTACTTTGACACGACATACCCACATGGCCCACATACTCGTACATATATATACAAAAATTGCCTGGAATGTGTGTGTGTGTGAGAGTTGGTTTCTACCCCAAGAGCACTACCTTCAACACATCCGGGATATTCATTTTTATTTTTTTACATAGACACTAATCATGTTTCATATAATTTGTATTATATGCATTTTTTCAGCATGGTATATATCCCGGTTTCACCATGGCTGCATGTTTGTTCACAGAACCGCACTCGGCCCTTGTCAGGTGGCACCCCACAGGTGAATCCAGCTCAAGTGCCAATCTTCAATCCGCAGCTTTCTCAAATGCGCTTCACAATCCTCTGTTTGGCTTACTAACTCTTATTCAGGCTTTTTAAGTCCCGTTATGCTTTTTGTTCATTTCAATTAGAATTCAGATAAACAGTCCTTTCCAAAAAGGAGTTAAGCTACAATGTAAATATAGCTGCGGGTAAAATTCAACTAATCTTGAATAATACATTAAATACGAATGTATTCCCAGATCTGACTTATGTTCTAAATTTAAGAAAATACGATTATAGTTGAAACTTAAATGTTCTTAAATGTTCTTTCAACACCTCGCGCGTATGTTTCAAACCAACTGGTTCCCTCAACTGTCCTCCAACAACAAAATGTGTTACGCGTTTTTCACCTGAGGGGTGTCACCTGAGGGGTCTGAGCAACGCCCCCCCCCCGCTTCCGCTTCGGATTGGCCGCAGGCTGCAGCTTCGGAGCGAGCTGCAAGCGGGCGAACCCCCAGCACTTCCTCGACGAGAGCCACCCGGGAGATCCCGACTTCGGGGCAGGGGGCCCTGGATCTTCCGCTTTCGCGGCACCCGCAGCCCGTGGGAGATGGGTTTCCTTGGTGCGAAAGGGGTGGGAGAATGAAGCCAGGGGATTCCCACAACGGAAAGAAACCACAAAGGATGGTCGGTCGATAGGGAATGTGGGAATGAATCTAGGGATTTTGCCTGAAAGGCAACCACCGGTTGGATGGTTAATAAGGGTCATTCCATTTCTCATTCCCTCAATCCCCATGATTTCTTTGACTTCCCCCATGGCTCCGAATCATATGAGTCACGTCCGCAAAACCCGGGTAATTGGAGGGTAGGGCAATCCCAGCTACACATGGGTGTGGATATCCGCCTTTTCAATCCTTTGCATGGTTCTGGGTAAACCATCTTAATACCTGGTTTCGATTCTATCTATGAGATTGGCCAACTTTTTAGAAGGCTCCTAGCATACCTTGTTCACTGGGAGTAGGGCCTTTGGTCAGCCTTCATGTTGACTTCACCGAGTGCCAGAAACGCTTCGGGCGGAGTTTCCCCAATCCACGCAATCGGGACCTCCCCGAAACGAACGGGCCTCATAGAGTTTCACGCGTTTGGGAGAACAAAAGCCGATGCGAGCCACGGAACCAAACCCCCCACTCCCTATGGGAATGGTTACCTGCCAAACAACTCCTCCTCCTGGGCCGGATGTTGGCATGTGGGGTTGTGTGTTTGTGCGGGAGCTCCCCAAAGTGATGTCCCTTTTGCTTCCCTTTGAACCAACACCAAACAATATGTTTAGACACAACAACGTATGCATATATATATATATAAGACATGTATGCATACATGCATGCACATGCATACATGCATACATACGTGCATGCATACATCCATGCACACATTGCCCTGCATACATACATTGCATGCATGCATGCATGCATACATACATGTATACATACATGTATACATGTATACATAGCCTATATATCTACGGACACACCGTAGCCATATGTACGACCGGTTTTCTTTCCAGATCCCTCAACTCGATCCCAGGAGGTGGCCATAGTGTTGCCCTCGGTGACTCCGGGGCCTCAACTCCACCTGAGGAGCGGCGGGGGCAACCTGGAAGAGGTAGAGAGCGGCCGCCGTGAACCAGTCTGTTTTGAAATCAGCTTTTTCATGGATGGATGCTTCTGAAGGGGTATGGGGTATGTTGTCAGAGATTTGTATTCTACAGCAAAAAGCACCGACTGCCAAGGTTCATTTTGATTTTGGTACTTGGGTGTTTCGGCCAAGTTAGCAAGTTGTTGGTAGCCTGGTTAACCCACTTATAAGTCAGCGGCTCAGTCGGGTTAACCTTGTTAGGCGGCTATATTCACCAAGTGACCAACCTCAACCAACGCCATGCAGTCTTCTCGTGTTAAGATCAGGCGACTTAGGGTAAGGCCAGCCGAGAAGTGTGTTAGGTTAGCGCAGCAGTTTGTCAAGGTTGGGCGCAAGACCAGTTAAGCTAGCCGAACATCACTTAGTTCAGTAAGGTTAGCCGAATGGTTTGTGTCGGTAAACTGAACAATTGGTTGAGGCTACTTTGCCGGAAAACAATGCAAACAAACACATGATTAGGTTCGGTGAAACATTTGTTCAGGTTGGCCGAACAGTGCAAGGTTAGTTAGCTGAAAAGCTAGTGCAGCTTAGCCGAAAAGACAGTGTAAGCCAAAGGTTGCCCGAACATTTAGATATGCCATTATTCAGAAAGGGTGGTCGGAAAGTGACGTCAGATTCGCGAACAGATAGCTAAGCGTTGCTGAACAGTTGGCCAGAACCTCTAATTTGTTAGGGCCACCCAACAGTTGGTTCAGATTCACAAAATTCTGGACGGAAGCTTGGTTAAGGCCAGCCCAAGAGTCCGCAAGGCTTAGTTTTCTTAACTGGGCGAACGTTGCGTTCCGCTTGGCCGAACAGATGCGCCGAAAAGATGGGCAGGTTCGCCAACAAGCTGCCGGAGTGCAGCCGAACAGTTGCTTGTGGTTCAGGCGTAGGTTGCATCACGTCAAGCCCAGGGGGTCAGCAGACTGAGGACTGAGCCCTGATGGATTAAAATGCACGTCCCACTGAACGACCTCGTTGACGCTCTGCGGATTTTGTTGCGCCAACCTTGGCAGGGGTTCCATCCCAATAGGTCCATCACTTTGAGGGTTTCCCTTGGACGTTTCGGGTTTTTGCGAGGGACAAGAGGAAAATCACTCCGGTAAGACACGCCTTTCAACCTCGGCAGTTCCGACCGTTTTTCGGCGGCGGCCCCGGCCTTTCTCCAGGGACCAGAGCTTCGATTGGATCCGCTTCGCCAACGACAAGCAGGACCGCTGCTTGTGGAAGATTGGCTTCGTTTGTGCCACTTTTGTGACGCCCTTTGGGAATCTCCTGAGTGATAAAATAGTTCTGGAAGTGGGAATGCAGCACAGGACAGATTAGTTTTCAACAGCCAACAGGCCCGCACCCTTTAAGTGACCAATCATTTGCATATCACACAAAATCCCCGCTGCTGACACCAATCCCTGAAGTAATACACTATAGTCATGGTTGGACCCTCTTGGCATGCACCTTATTTTCAGTCATAGTTCTGCTGTGCTTCTCTTTGTTTTCTTCTGTTTTTGTTCCTGTTTTTGTTTTCTCCTTTTTCTCTTCTTTTTTTTCCGCCGCAGATCTTGTGGCACGGGTTGCGCCATGGTTCTGCAGGACCGGGACCTGCGGGCGGAGACCGCGGCGCTGACGCTGAAGGCGTGTTTGGCGCGGGGCTACCAGCTGAATGCGGTGGTGCCCTTGCAGCGGGTGGATGCCTTGCTGGAAGGAGGGGTTCCGCTGGGAAGGGTTCAGGTTTTCCTAGATCTGCCTTTTGGAGTTGGAACCCCTTTGTAGTTGGTTTGAAAGGGGAACCAGGGCCATTTTGTTTTGGGTCCCCTAAACAAGAGACACCCATATGTTCAAAATGGTCACTTTGGGTTGATAGCAACTTCACCTGTTTGCCAATGTCTTGGTTTAAAGTTAACTAGCTTGCCCAAATAATTTCACCTGTTGGTTTCCCACTTGTCAATATGTTGTCAAAGTTCCGGGTAGAAACCCAGTTGTAAAAAGGCCTGCGGTGGGTGATAAAAGGGGTTTGCTAACCATCTAGCGATTCCTCCCAAGCCCCGGCCGCGCCAATGTGGCTTGGCGGTTTGGATACTAGACCGATACCCCACTTCGCTTTCCATCCATCAACGAATCACCGTCCTTTTGGGTTTGGAGGTTGGGGTTGGCACTCACAAGACCGGCGATTCAAATCCCCAATCCAAGCCAGCGACGGCGAAATGGAAGGTTATTGAATCTTGGGTGGACGGGGTTCCGGAAAAAGGATACATGCAAACACCCCAGCCCAAACGGTCCGCCAATTTTGGGCCAGCGAAAGAAGGCACCCCCAAATATATCTTGGGCCCCCTGTCGGAATTGCTTGGCTTGGCGACGCAGGCACGAAGCTCATCAAGCTTGATGAGGCTGGGACGGTTCATGCGTGGGTCTTTTTGCTTTCTGCACATGTGTTTTTCTCATTTTTTCTCCGAACAGAAGGGTCCCTTTTGGGCGATAGTAGTTTGATTTCAGATCCCCATTTTCCATACTGTGTACAAACCATATTTTACATGTTGTTTCTTTCAATAAACATATGAGCGACCGACTAGTTAACCAACAATAGCAAGCATAGATATTTTGCTGTGAAACGAGATCCCAGATCACCCCCCCCCCCCCCAAACTAACAAGATCCAAAAGAGATAGTTGTGTAGAAGACTGCCAGCGGCCCAGCCCGACTAGCTCAGACAGAGCAGACCCTAAGCTTTTCGCAGGTTCCCACATTACTCGATGCACATGCTACCGCAGCAACCGGCAAGTCTCGCCCGCGAGGTCTCCGCAACGAGTCGGATGCCTTCACAAAGTGAACCATGGCCCATTGAAACGGTCCAGCTCTTCAACTACATCCCCCCTCAGAGGGTTGAAATAATGATGGGAGAGAAACAAGTTGCTTGCTTGGTAGCGACACGCTCGTACAAGCACTTTTGCGCTGATCCTCTGCAAAATGAGATGGCCCTTGGCTACGATGTTATTCAACAATTACTCCAAACGAGTCCAAAACGAGATCAAACAATGTTTGCGCCGCGCTAGACAAGCAATATAGTCGGCCGCTCATATATTGCAATATATACACGCAGACAATCTATTGCTACCCCAACAAACGTTGAAACCCCAACAAGATCCCAACATATTGTTTTTCTGTGTTTTTCTCAGAGCGTTCAAAGGTTGCCCCCTCCCCTCCCCTACAGCTCAACCTTCATGCAAGCAAAGGTTGACCTAATTTAAATCTTGAAGCTCAGGTAAACATGGTTACGCTGACCCAACCATGGTTTCAAACCCCAGACACTCTATGGGAATGTTTGCCCACATGATCCCTGGGTCAAGTTCTGGCACATGGCTCCGAGCCAAACCTTCCCCGGTGATTCCATCTACTTGTGCCGCAGTCAACTTGGTCAAGCATTTTCTTTGCCACCCTCAATACCAAAAAGGAACATGGGCGAAAGGGTGGCAACCACCAGTCCTCAACACTGGTCCTTCATCCCACCGGTTAAAATACCAAAATGAGCGAAGCGCCTCCCATCCGCTCGCAGGTGGCTGCGTCCAACTCCCGGGCGCGGCTCAGCGCGGAGAGCTCCACGGCGCTGGGCTGCGCGCTGCGGCGCGCACAGCGCGGGGAGAAGGTGGCGGTGCTCGGCGCGGCTTCGGCGCCTCGGCGCCTGGCAGAAACGGCGCGGCGGGTGAAAGCCGCACACGGGGAAAACGCCCTCCAAGCCACAAATCCAAACCCCCTCTGGTTTGAGGGAACCTTTAAAAAACAAATATATAGCAACAGTGGGCAACACTTTTTTCAGGTTCTCTTTCGTTTTTATAGCTTGGGGTTTTCCTCAACAGCGGAAAGCTATGCTCTGGGCGGTTGGGGTTCAGAAGGAGGGCTTCAGGGCGTTCCGGGGTTGTTGAGAATATCACCTTGTGTTGTTGTGTGTTGTTTTTGGAGGGGGCGGGGGCAAACACCCAGTTTCGGGGTGGATGTGTGTGGGATGCTTATTTGGGCGGCGTAAAACTGTTTGGCTTGCGAGCATGTCTTGGGCTTGGAGGCGGCGATTTTGGGGCCGGAATGCGCGCTTTTCAAGTTTGCTTCAACGCGAAACTGACAGGAAGCCACCGCAAATCCATTTTGGAGGCAGACCAAATCCAAGGGGTGACCCGGAAAATGTGCCTTTTTGCGCTGGATTGCTCCCTTCGGGCCTCTTTCTCGAGGCATACCATCCCTGCGGGGGATTCCGCACAGGAGGAAGGCACGCACTGGAGGAGCGGGATCCGGTAGTTCAAGGCGGAAGGGGCCGACCAAAGCGACGACTCATGTTGTTTTTGTTTGAAGGGCCAAGCTGTGCCTTGAGTTGTTTTTGCCTTCGACTTCTGCCAGTTTTGGCCCAACTGGTGCAAAGGCAAGGCACGAGCACCAGTTGGGTGCTTTATCCCAATTTTCGAATCTGGTGTCATCCATCCCAACTGGACTTTGTCCACTCATTTCAGGTCGCACTTCCCAGAAAAGGCCGTGTTTTCTTTTGGGGGGGGGTGCCCTTGCGTACCTTAGGGAATGGAGTCCCGAACCTTGCTTCAGGAGTCCATGTGCGTCCAGTCCAGCCTGTGCCTTTCACTGCAGCGAGCCGTGTGGCTGTCAAGCCACGGTGGGGTCCAGGCCGCCTGGCCGAAACGAGCGAGATCCATCGCGCAGCCCGGGTTTCTTGTTCCTGACGTGGGCGTGTGTCTGGACTTGAGGGTAGATTGATTGACTCATTCTTGTTGGGGTGGTGTTGAAGGGAAACCAGAAGGAAACCATCTTTTGGGGGTCCCCTTAAAGAAACACACCGTTGTTTAGGGTTCGCCTGGAAAGGCCCGGCTTTGTTTGTCGAGCCTCAAAAGGCGGACAGCGAGATTCCTTTTTGTGGTTCCAGACCTAGTTGTTCAGTGAGCCTGGAGCATTTGCACGTCCTGAACGCAACAGAGATCAGAAGGATTGATGAAATTACAGGTTGGACGTGCAACAACTTGGCACGTGGCCAGCATCGTTTGCTCGCCTCTGTGCTGAGGTCCCCATCCCTGAGCGCCTCCGGCAGGATGGCAGGACTGAGCGCTACCATGCCAGAAAACCTCATGTCGAGCCCTGACTAGACCTTCCATGCCTTCAGAAAGGTCCTGGAAGAAAGGAATCCTAAGCAGGGATTGCTCTTGACTGAGGGGATTTCTTCATGTCAACATTCATCCCAGACCATTCCTTCGCTTCGCAACTGGCGCTGAGGGCTGCGATTTCTACTCGTCTCCCTTGATGGCCACCCACACTTCGCTCCAGGTAAGACAGGCAAACAACTCACTGGAATGCCTACCCACGGGTGCGGACTTGGTCCACAGTCATCCCGATCCATGCGTTGCACATGCTCTTGGTCTCCGTGACAAAACACAACTCGACATTTGACCTTTGTTTTTTCCCTTTGGTTCCACCGAACTGCTGAGATGGATAGCTTCCCCTTGGTCTCCTTACCCGGTGCTTCCATTTAGCAAGTTTTGCATCATTCCTGAGTACCTAGACATGTCGTACAAGAACAAGAAGTGGTTGGTGAACATGTCACAGGGTCCAGAGACTTTTTTTCATGGTTCCAGCTCAAACAAAAGCCACGGGCCCAGTCGTAAGGAGGTAGCCATTTGCGCATGAGTGACGCCCAACCCAGAAAGGAGGGACTGGTTCTGCTACATCCCGGAGCAGGGCGCAGTGCTTAGCCCCTTTGTCGAGGTCTTCCGAAAGGGCTCCGACGAAGGCGGGCTGAAGCTGGTGTCCGCGAGGGGGTTCGCACAAAAAAAGGGAACCCCTGTAAAAGATGCCTAGGGCCACTTCACGTGATTTAGAAGGAACACTCTGCTAAAATAGGTGGTGTTTGTAATGTACCTGAAAAAAGGGCCCTGTATTTTAACCCTTCAGTCCTTTAACTCCTGCTGCAGTGGGAAACCAGATCTGCTTTTTAGTGCCGTTAGGATGTCAAAGGTGTTTGGCAAGTTGCAACCCCTATCACGCTTTTCCAGCTTGGGTGCGTCTTTGTTTGAGCCAAGTGGCCTTGTTCTCCTTTCATCCAGATGTCCCTGGAACATCTGTATGGCCAGAGCTACTGTCGCCTTGGTTTCCGTGTGTCAAACCCTTTGGACATCAGACATGCATGCGGGCATGTGGGTCTATCCGATGCGGCATCAAAGAAGCTTGCCCTCAGTCGGCGCTTGGCGGGTCGCAGGACTCGAATTGCTGGTGTTTGACGGTTCATTAAGAGTCTTGATTTTACCCTGAGCGGCAAGGGCCCTCTGTTGGAAAGGTCGCTCCGGACCGAAACTCATTGGAAGGTTTGGGACCTCATTTTGACGCAACCATTTTGAGATTCTTAGGATCATTGGCTTCGCTGAGGATACGCATTCCTGTCCGCCCCGGTTGAGCTTGCTGCGGTGGTCAGCGTAGCAATGCCCAACAAGAACCCCAGCGTCAAGGAGACTCAGTCGGGTTGGACGAGTCATCAAAACACTGGAGGAAAACCCAATTTCAATACTGGGATCAACATTTTGTAAATGTCCATCAGAATCAGTTCGCGACGGGGGATTTGGTCCAGCTTTACCAAAGGTCCTTCTCTTGGGCGTCCACGACTCTTATTTCAGGTTGGCAAACATTCAATTCACTCCGGCGCATGGGGATGGCTCAAGGGCAGGTTTGGGCCAACGTGCGCTCGAAACGAGTGTTTGGGCCCGAATCAACACGCCACATCAGGAAAAACGGCATCTGCCTGGTTGATTCGGTGCATGAGTTTGGCCAGACCACTTGAATACCAGGTGTTGATGCTGACTCAGCTACCCTGCTTCCCACGTCATTTTCCTATCCAAAGGTAGACCTTCGACCCGGTAATAATTTTCCCTAAAACTGAGAGCTACCACCCCAACGGTTTCTTAAGAAATAAAGCCGCGGTACAAAGCCACTTCACAGGGTATATACGGTAAACCTCTGATTTTCCTGGACCCCAGTTGGCTAAGTCTACCACGTGTGGCTTACTCATGCAGGACTCGCCCTTGGATGCCCCGCAAGATGCTGCGGCGTAGCTTGGCAGCGGGAAGCTTTGTTTGGTGCACTCGCGAATTGGTTTGCACTTCCCTTTAATTACAACATATCCGGAAACGGCCACAAAAAGAATCATGCGCAGGGACAGCCTTTGGATCTCTTTGGCTGAAGCCGTTTGTTGGGAAGCTGACTCAATGAAGCACAACGGACCTGAGACCTCAGAACCATAGCAAGGAGAAGTTCATGGCCCTTAGCGCTCAATAGTCACTAGTTCACCAATCATCAATGGTCGATATTAGTCGCTGATACTGTGGATGGACAAAATCCACTTCGCACCGCTTTGATACCATTATTTGCTGGTATTTGCAGGGGAATGATCATTCTAGGGTGTCTTAGGTGGTGCAGGATTCCGTCCATCCACAGTACCACTACGTGTTGCCTTTGATCCATCCTCGAGCAAGCCCTCGGAAGATCTTAAGAATCGGTGGCACGTGCAGTCGAATCGCAGTTCCGGCGCTCCCGCCCCAAGCTTTGTGCATACCCTCATACGGCTCTCTCCTGGCAGCAATTGGGAGTTGGCAAGCTTCGAGTATCATCCACCCTGAACACCTGGTCCCCAATGCAAAGACCCTGAACCCTGCACAGTACAATGCTCTAAACCCAAAAGCCTCACAAAAAATGTTAGAAGACCTACAAAATGTTAAACAATGTTACAATGTAAACCAACCCTCCTTGAAAACCGCAAGCCCAAGAATCCACAAATCCCAAAGAAGCACCTCACCCTGAAACCCCGAACCCTGAAAAAGCCCGAACCCTAAAAACGCGAAGCACTTTGTTCCCCTAGGCCAATAAAGCCCCAGGCGCTGAGGACCATTTTCCTACGTATTCGTGGGTTTCCAGCATGGTCTCGCTGGGCTTGCTCGCAACAAAGTGGCGTTCGCAGATTTTCTGGGTTTCCCAGGTTCCCACCAACCAACCACACCCGAAAAGGCCAGAAAGGCGCCCGAAAAAACCTGGGAAGCGTCCCATGTTTCCCAGTAAAGCCCCTACCCTCAAAGGAACACCATGGCCCCCACTTGCTTTTGGAACGAGGTACAAGGCGCTCTTGGTGTCCAAGTTCCAGGTGGCTTTGGGCGCAGCACTTCGGCACCGGTTGAGCCGGGGGAATGACATGGGTGCTGGGTGGGTGGGGGGGGGAGACAAAGGGAACCCTTTTTGGGGGCTGTGATGTGTTTTTGTCAAGGGGAACCCAATTTCCAATGGAAGAACCCGATTCCATTTTGCGGTTAGGGTTGCAAGCGAATTAGCTTCTAAGCCTATGGCTTCCTCAGTGCGAATGTTTGCTTCAGAAAAAAAGAAGCAACAAAACAACAACCCGCCCAACTCCAATTCGAGTCATGGGCGCTGTCCGAAACCAGCGATTGGTTTCGGGGCTTCACTTGGGCCTTAGAAGCATCCACCGGTAGGCGGTTGCCATTGTGTCCCAGTTAGAGGGCTTCAGCCATCGCAGCTACCTGTATGGCTGTGGGTCAAAACCAATAGTGCCATGTTCGGGTAGGTGCGCGTCTTATCTTAGTGGGGATTGGGATGTTCACTGGGGGCTACCCGGGATTTTGACCCATGGCCCTGTGTTAGGGTTTGGGATCCGCTCTGGTTCAAAGCAACTGCACCTCGGTTGCTTGTGGTAGGAGTAGGGGTCGAGACGGGTGTTTGTCTTTTTAGGTTGTTTCCCTTTGGGTGTCCCTTTGCCATCAAAAAGCGGGTACGCCCAAAGAAGGACAATGCCAGATTGATGTTTGTTTTTTTTTGACTTGTTTTTGCGGCATGGTGCGGCACATCGGCTGGCCAGACTTGGGCTGGGATTTGGGCTGGTTGACGGTTTGCATGGTTTAGGGGATGGGGTTGTTTCAAGGTGCACGCTGGGACCCTGGGGTTCGGGGGCCTTAAAAAGAAAGGCCTTTAGGAAGAGGCCGTGAAATGTGGGGAACGTCCTTTGTTTGCAAGCTGGACGCTTTTAATTGGGTTGACAGTTTTGTGTTGGCCGCATTAGTCGCCACATGGCTTTGCAGTGCTTGTGGCTGAAAAGTACGCTTTCCAAAGCCTCTCGAAAACCATGTAGACATGTTGAAGATGGTCAATGCTCAAGGTCTTCAACTTTGTGGGATTTCTAGAGACATTGATCATGGGCTTAGCAACGGGAAATCGACAAGGGAAAAGCGTGAAAATACCGTGAAATTGGCGTGAACGCCCTTTTTTTTGCAGTGAAAGACCGTGAACCGCCGTGAAATTTGGCAGGCGAAAAACCACTCGCATTCGTCCTGGCTGGCGTTGTTTTCTGCTGGGCTTGAAAAGGTCTTGCTGAATGGATGTTTCGGGAAGCTCATGATTGTTCCATTGATGATGCAGACATGTGCTGCTTTAACGTTGAGGCCTTCGCAAGTCTAGCTTGGTGTGGAAAAGGCTTGTTGCTGACGATGTAAAGTTGGAATTCCATCCAGGCCCCCATCCCCCAGCTAGTCAAACAAAGGATGTTCATGTAACGGCCTTTGTTTTAAAAGCCTTTTACCCCCCAGGGGGGAGGGAAAGGTTTTGGCTGAATTCGGTGGCTTTAGGTTGGGCAGCTCACATTGAGTTTTGATTTGGTTAGGTCTAGGATGCGTTTACGATGGGTTTACGGTTAACGAAGCTAATTAGAGCGTTATTCTTGCAGGTTTCAAGGGAAACCTCAAAGAAAGCCACGTATTGTTGGCACAATTCCTATTTATTGTGTATGAGTTCCAATAGGCAACTGCTGCACAAGTGATTGGTAGACACGAATCCCGCAAACGATGTCCACGAAATGGTCTAGCAAGATTCACCCCGAATTGAACAGAGACCAGCACTGGTTGACTTGTGTTTCTAGCAACATGGTCGAATTTCAGGCCAACAACCATAATAATTCAAGTAGAACCTATGGGTTTGTCTCACGGACCCTTTGGGAAGTTTCCTTTTCGTTTCCCATGAAACCCGTCCAAAACGGGGGGGCATCAACCCGTCCGTGTGCCACCCCCAAAACCCCCGAGGCGTCGCTGGCGGGCGCCAGCACTTGCGTGGTGCCGGGTGTGGGGTGCGGCATCTTCAAGAACGACCCAGGATCCCATCGGAGTGAGAGACCTCGAGTTTTGGGGCACAAGGTCCCTGGAGAAATGCCCTGGGGGGGGGGCGATAGGGGTGGGGTCTTGGAAAGACGACCTGGAGAAATGCTTGGGGGGGGGAGGGAGGGGTGGGGGTCTTGGAAAGACCATGTGTTTGATGGGTTTTAGGTGTTGAAGTCAGAAACTGGTTGGTTGTTTCCGTATTTGCCACGTGGGTGATGGGCCCGGAGCGTCTCAGCATGGTGGTTGACAAAGCGAGAAAGCGGGTTCCTTGTTCTGAAAGATTTGCCATAGGTTGGGAAGGCTTGCTTTCTTCCCAGGCAGTGCTTCAAGCATTGCCTGGATTTGTTTTGCACAGGTTTGGATTCTGTACTGTTGGGTAGACTCATGTGAGCCACCAGATGTTCATGATGAGGTTTGATCTTCAAGCCTCTTCAACCGCAGCTCCCCGGGGTTTCCTGAGAATCGGAAGGAAGGGGTACGCCTAGCTTTGGGGGTCATGAAGATATCCTCCAATGCTTTGCTTATGAATTTATAATTTCAAGATTATTTAGATTCAGAGTGATGTTCCTTTGAACCATCATTGTAGATATCACTTTCATGAGCCCAGCTCCAGTGGACATCCCATTACTTGAAAGTGAAATCCCTCAGGGATGCTCCTTCAAGGCCTTTATACTTCACTTAGCCATATGCAGAGTTTAAATTGGGAGTCAACTGTTGGTGCCGTTTCATGTGGCAAATGTCAAAAATCAGCTTTAAATAAACTGAAAATTAGTGCGAGAAGAAACAAAAAAACACTACCACCACCACCACCACCACCACCACCACCACCACCACCACCACCACCACCACTACTACTACTACTGGCAATAATACTATAATAATGATAATTATCATTAAGAAAAGAAGAAGGAAGAAAAACAAAACCCTGCACCTTGGGTTTCCAAAGAACTGGGTACACCCCCCGGTTGCCCCGCCAAGCCCGCGCGCACATGTGGGGGGGCTCTTCGCTGAGCGCTAGGCGACATGGGCGCGGCTCTCAAGGAGGCGATGGCGCGCGGCTGCGGCAAACTCCGAGAGGCGGACCAAATGGCTGTGGTTGTCAAAACCGTTTTGGTATCCCATTTTGGGGTAGGTGAATTCACCACCCATTTTCGAACCTATTTTAGTGGGGATTGGGATGTTCACTGGGGGTACACGCGATTTTGAACGATGGCCAAATCGACCTTTTGATCTGAGCTCCGCCCTGATTCTTTGCATTTCGTAGACTCCAATGACTTCCAGGTTGCCCAGTTTTTGTTCTGGTCACCCCTGAACACTGGCCTGAACTTGAAACCATGGCGTTTGGACGTTTTTAACGTTGCCCCCTCTCCCAAACTGGTTAACCGCAGGCTTTGGCAACAGGACTTGCCTTCCGAACATGTACACTTCTTGCAAATTTGAAGAAGGAACCCAAAAACGGTTGTCCTGTCCCCCTTGCAAACTGGGTTTCCCAAAACCACCAAAAAAACGGCCCCTCCACAAATTGACTTCAGTTTCGAGCTTTCATGCGAACAAACAAGCAGACAAACAAGACAAAGCAAAACAATGCGATTAAATCAAAGCAAATTACGACAGCACGCACCACAAAGAACCAAAAGCAAAACGAAAAGCACTGATCTGAACAGAACAGCACTGGAACATGATAACAATCAAAGCCCAAAACAACACGACAAATTGACAACCAAACCGAAACAAACAAACACAACACCGACACAACGACACAAAACAGAACCAACCCGACGTGAACAAGCAAGCAAGCAAGCAAGCAAACAATCAATCAAACAGACAAACAAACAGCCGCACACAAACAAGAAACCAAACAAACAAACAAGCCACAAAGCCATTAAACCAAAAAACAACGCAAAGCAACATCACACACCCGCACAAAGCACAACAACACAGCACACACACACACAATAGCAACACAAAACAACATAAACCATATCACAAGTAAGCAAACGCAACGGACCAGGCGAGCAAGCCAGCGGCTGGGTGTCTTTGCTGGTTCCCATTCGGAGGTGGTGCTGGCTGGAGTGCCGCCGGAGTTCGCCAAAGCAGCGCAGTGAAGAGAGCCGACTGAACCCGAAGGCGGGCTGTGGAAGCTCAAAACTTGGCAGTTTGGGGGCGGCAGCGGCTTCGCCATCTAACTTTATTTACCTACCCACACAAAATAACAGCATGTGGCGCGGATTGATCCTCCCAGCCGTGTGGAAGAAGAAGACTTACCCACACAAAATACCAAAGCGCGGAGGTTCGTGGGTGTCTCATTTGCTGGTCTTCGGTCTCAGATGCAAGCGAGTGGACCGCATGTTTGGTGGGTCCCCATGGTTGGCCCCGAGTGAGCACCATGTCTGTCCAGATCCTTTCGGCGAGTGAGCCGTAGGTAAGGGCATGAATGCCATCATCCCCTTAAAGGTAGGTTCATGAAGACCCCTGTTGATTCCCGACTGAGAGCTGGCAAGGAAAAAAACGCCGGCTTCACCCAGAGAAACCACAATTTGCGAACAAAAGGAACAAACACCGCAGTGCCGCCTGCTATGAAGGGAACAAGGCCTAGGGAAGTGCACAACGCATCAGGGCCAAGTTGAAAAGTTGTCAGGGACCCATTGTAGATTCCGGATAGCTGAGGCGGG